TAAACGGAACTTAATACATTATTAAGTCTTAAAATGGCAAGTAGACTGTAGAGGATGAAAATAATAATTACAAAAAAAAGTGATGGAAAATGAAATAATTAAATCTTCTTATATTTAACTAATTAGATTATCACAATGATTTTGAGAAAATGTTTGGCTAATGTTTTGGTTGTTTTGTTTTATTTTGTTTTTGTTCTGGATCAGTTTTCATACAAGCACAGGTTGGGAATCATTTTGAAAGATAAATTTGTTGTTTTTTTAACAAAAATTGTCAGTTACATATACTGTAAAACCAGTTTCATAACCAGTGCAAACCTTCTAAATATCCTCCAAAGAAATTTTAAAGTGGAATGTAGCTCTACAAATAAATCTTCAAGCTAACAGTAAAACTTAATTTAGTTTTATTAATTAACTAAAATATATTGACAAATTGTGAAATCTATCTTTATAATCCAGGTTAAAATTTGAATGTATTTACTGCAAATTATCACAGAATTATGAAAATTCAACCCTTTGCCCAGTAACGGCAATATATTTCTGCATTGTATTAAAAGTAATTTCTATGAACATATAAGGCTAATTTTTTAATAGTTATGAGTTACGCCTGGTTAAATCACATTTAAAAAATAAATCTAAAACTGGATGTAAGATGCTTTAAAGTAATGTTCTATTTATTTATTTAATTTTTTATTACATCGATACACGTAACATTAGAATCAAACGAACATTACATTCATTCATTCCTTTACTAAACAGTAAATAATTAATACAATGGGTGTCCATTATCTTTTACTACTCCTAATTAATTTAATTGATTGATTAATTAACTGATGGGCTGATGGATCCAACAAAATACTCAATTCAAAAGAACCCATGAAATTCATACAAAATATAATTAGTACTGCACACCACAACGGAATATTTCGTGTGAGTTTTAACCATTCAAACACGACTCAAAGTTGTTTACATAAAGTTGATTTCAGTTCATGGGTCAACACTCATGGAGCACATGCCTTTCACGAAAATAAACAATTAAAGGAATTTACCTTTGACCCTATACAGCAAGGGTTCATCCGAGCTACACAAATGAAAATAAAACATGAACAATAATCCAAGTTGTGGAATAAAAACGCAATTTTTAAACTCCATCATTTCGTAAACCCCTTCATCGGTAATCCGTCACATGGATAGACGATACACATTTCCCCTTTGATATATCGCGGTGCGTTCCGTGAGTGTGTCGCGCTACGCTGACTTTTCAACCAATCAGCGTACGTTATCCTACTGTTTACAATCTTGCGCGTGAGAAAACTACTACTATTTGTATAGTCCATTTCAAAAATATGTGCGAAGCTCTTCAATTATGAATGAAAATCGAGCTTTAAACTAGCAACTATAAATCAGGGAATAATTTGCTTACTTCGTGCGTTTTACTTTTAATAAAGTAATAGATTGTTTTCTTCAGATAAAGATCTATAATTTTGTTCGTATTTTTTCATTAATTATACATACCGATATTATATTATAATTATGTCGTATAAATGCTTCAAATTCATTTTAAATTTATTTCGAATAGAATTTAATTTCATTAAAAAGTAAAATGAATAATTCCATAAATAAAAATAAGGAAATTAACTTTCTGAAAGACTGCGTGGTTTCCTATATCTGCGTCAAATATCAGAGGGGTTATATTTATGATAAATGTTGATGCCCTACAAATATGGCGGTAGGAATTGTCTCTCTTAGCTGACACTTTAATTTCGACTTTAAAACTGTAGGCTACATAAACTGTATCTTCTACTACTCCCAGAGATTAATATTAAGTTTGTAATTTTATAACTTTCCTATATTTTCATATGCAAATATATTTCCTGAACATGAGCTTAAAGCTAAGGAAGTAGGAAGATTAGATATATTCGTATCTTCCTATTTTTGTCTGTCGTTTGCTAATTAAAACCAATTCATTGAAACTTGATACTACTACTTCATTTTTTTCTTGATTCATGGAAAATTATTGTTCATAGATAACAGAACAGTGACCGAATGAAAACAATAAATAGTAATACACGTATAAGTCGAGCACGATAACGTTTTGGTTTAAACATTAATCGGTCGTACCATTATGATACAAGTTCTTCAATTATTACATTTTGCATTTTTATTGCAATATAGAAGAATAAAAGTGGAAATAGACACGTAAATCTGAGTAGCGTAGTGATCCGAGAGTTCAGACTATGAAGATCTTAGGTTATGAACATGGTTTCTCGAGTTCAAATCTGCATCTGTGCACATTTCATGAGTATAGTTTTTATAAATTACTTTCAGCATATATTTTTATAGTGTGTCACGTAACTTTTCATCTTCTCTTTTATAATGTGTTCATGGTTTTGCAGCATGCCTCCAGGTTCATGCTAATTTTCATGAAAATTTTAAAATTATATTTTAAAGTAAAATATTGTGAAGTGAATAAAGAAAATAATTTACAAACAACACTTGTAATCCACGTAAGTTACAATAAAGATGTCAAAATAAGCAAAAATAGCCCTTACTGCGTTAGAAATATGGTGATAAATACTGCAATATTAGTGCTTAATGGCACATAACATGTAAATTACAACTTGAATCTTAAACTTTTTTTACTTTTCTCAAGTTTAATTTTCTTGATGACTGCGAATGTGTGTATAAGTAAATGTTCTCAAATAGCATTATGTGAATTAAATTAACGTGGAACTAAAATTAAGTTCTTTGAAAAAAAATACTAAAATGCTTTTTTTTTTCAGTATGCGAACACTATACCACTACACTATTAAGCTAAACGCAAAATAAAATGAGTGATTGATGAGGTAGCAAAAGATTAAGGTAATACAGAGTATGCTTTTAAATATTAAGAATTATCGACATCACTATTTGTAAATTTATAACTGAATTAAATTCTAAATTTGAATTATTATCCCAAAGAGGGAAGTACATACATCTTAAAAAAATTTACTTGTTTAATGTTAAAGTTTTATCATAAACTTTATTACCCCTTTTTCAATTGTGCCAGTAATGCTTTTTTTTCATTAAAATCTTTTTTGATTAAAGGCATTAGATTTTTCCCCCTAAAAGTAAAAGGAAAGTGTGTATTGTAGTCGTGTATAATATACAAGTAGTTGAATATTTTTTAAAGTACATGTTTTCTTATATCTCATAAAACACAATCACGCCCATTACTATAACCCATTATATTTTGGGAAATTTTATGTTTTAATGTCATTGTTTCATTTATGTTATATTAACAGTTGATTTATTATATGTTATATAAATAATGTCTCCAACATTTTTGTGCTTAAATACCAAGACAGTAACAGTTTTCTTTTCTGTTTTATTATTTGTTTTGTAAACAGGCACTAGTTTTGTATCACGGAAAATGCCTTAATTAATTGTTTAATTAAAGTCTTTGTGTTTGTACTTACCGGTTGATCTGAAGGGTATACAATTACTCATTGCTTCATTCAAATTTAATCGAAAAAATTCACATAGGTCTAAATATGTGAGAACATGCAATTCAATCAAATAATATAATAAAAAATTTTTTGTTTTCTAATTCAAATGGAATTTGAAACGTACGTAGATTACAATAATCAGGTTAAAGTGAATTTGGCCATAATGGAAGGTCTGTAATACCATAAATACATGTAATTATTAGAGAATTTCGTATCATAAGTGAATACAAACAAGGAAAAAATTATATGTGAGAGTGTGTGATACATGATTCGATATGGCATATCTATAATATTATAATATTTTTTTCTAGAACAATTTATATTTTTTATCATTATTATTATTAATATTATTATTATTATTATTATTATTATTATTATTATTATTATTATTATTATTATTATTAATGCTTATAGATCTACTAAACCACTTTTAACCCATCAATATTTTGTTTATATCCAAATGATATTTTTTTATTGGATTGTAGACCAGTATGTTAACTTTTTTAACAATCCAGCAAGGGGTCCGTAGAATCTACTCTCAGTGCTGTTAGAACTCACAGTCATGTGTACACGTTAGAGTCGCCTCGGTTGAAAAGGAGTGGAGATTCAATTCACAAGCCGTTTATCTTGAATTATAATTGACGCTACAATAAAAATTATTGATTCAATAAGGAACTCATTGTAACCACAATATATGATATAGATTTCAAAAACAATAGACACATTGCCTTGTTGCATTGTTATGTTTATGATAGAAGGGATTGCCAACCAGAATTTAAGCCCAATGAGGAAACAATTATAAAGAGCTAGATCTAGATCTTACGGTTGAAGAACACATATTTTAAAAGAGGAAAGTCGCTTGTTTGAATATCAAGAATGCATAATAAAGTTACGTCACATTAGAGCTATGTCAGAAACATGATTAGATGTAAGGGTTGTACCTGCATCTGGCGAACTCAATTTACAACGCCCGTATATATATCTATCATAGATCTATATAGAGTGGTTAAGGTCGCTGACTTGAGATCACAGTTCCCTCACCGCTGTAGGTTCGATACTCACTCGGGTCGAAATCTTTCATGTGAGGAAGCCATCCAGCTGGCTTACGGAAGGTCGGTGGTTCCACCAAGGTGCCCTCTCGTGCCTAAAATAATGCCCGTTGGGCACCTAGGGTCTTCCTCCACCAATTAAAGCTGGAAAAAATCGACGAAAAAATCTCGGCGGGACGCTCTAGGATGGCCCGACTTGAGTGTACGGTCGCCCATATGGGATTTTCCAGCGGCGACCTTAAATAAACGCATTAAAAAATAGATCTAGATCTAGATAGACCATTATTCAGAAATAAAATAAAGCCCGACATTTGCTTTTAAAGTTTAAGCTCATATTTGGTTATTTCTTGACTGCAGAATAGATTCAGATCTACATTCTATAAACATGATATAATTTACTGCTCAAAATTCACCTCAGTGCATCAAATTTTGAACTAGCTACGCTCGATCTTTAAAAAGCGGGAAATGGAAGCCTCGATTTGACTGCAGAAAAACCACAAGTGCATTGACGTCATTGACCTACTTTTAAAACCGATCGAAATTCCCAGGGATTTTTAGTTTAATATGCGGAATTTAGAAAGTGATTCAATATTAAACATACACCAACATTAATGCTGACTTTCTACACATCGTTTCATGACATGGATATAACAGATCCTTATTCCAACGGTTCGTAATTTGTGGGAACCCGAAAAGTGAATCGTTATTCCGTCTCGCTAATGGTCGCCATTTGGGAATGCCACGTAGAAGAAACCTATCGGCTTCGCAACAGAAACGTATGTATTTTATTAGTTTGCAATACATTTTTGCTTAGAAAACGTTATTGTCCCTATAAATAGGGATATGACACTTAAAATCAAAACACTAATATTTTAATGTCGCTCTGGGGGAACACCTTGGCCTGTGTAGCGATTTGGGGGTTGCCCTACTTTTGGGAAGAGTTGGAAAAAATACTTTCATGTTTATAAATTACCTTAGGGTATAAATGCTTTAGAAATTCATACAGGTTTTTGCATTATTTTATTTTTCAAACAAAATTAAAACGGAAATGATTGTAATATGTTGTTTTATTTATTTATCTAATTTGTCGGAAAATCCAAAACCGATTCCGACATTTTGGAAGAGTCCACTTTGATGACAGGGTTGCGCAATGAGTAATCTCTCGTCCGCCTTTTACATGGGCGTAGGAAGTTGATATTTCAGATAGCTGGTAAATCGAGATCTACTTTGTTACTTAGATCTGGGACATAATTTTATTATTGTTAAATAATAATTATAAAGTACAAAATATAGAACACTTTCAGAAAAATCATCAATTTGTGAAATTAGTGAAACAAAATCCTTACAAGAAGATTTGGATTTTGCAGTACAAAAATGGCATGTGGCCATGTCTTCAGTTTGTATAGGTCTATAAATGTATATAGATCTGTTAAAACATTTTTGACGTTCCTTTTAATATTGTACACAACTTTTTCATATTGAAGGTCCTCTTGATGAAGAAGTTCCCAGTTTGTCTCCAAAGAAACTCAAAGGTAGGTAGTCTATATAATTATCATTTATGTACTAATTGGCATACACTATATAAGATATAGATAAATTATGTCATTTGTGGCACTATCCAGACAAAATTTATAATGGCAACTTATTAAAAAACTTAATGATGTTAGAAATATGACATTAGTCAGGTATTAACAGACCCCCCCCCCCCAAAAAAAAAAAAAAAAAAAAAAAAAAATAATTAAAAAATTAATTAGATTAAATAAATCTAAATAAAGAAAATGGGTATTGATACTTTCAATTTCTCAGTGAAATGCTCTTTGAACAATCTTGTAAATTTTTCATGTAGATCTAAATAAGATAATTCACAACTATTTTATTTTTATCTTAAAACAGAGGATATTGGTGTTGCCAATGAGGATAATGGTGTCATCATAGCAGCTAGCCAATCAGATGATAGGATTAGAGGTGACACATCAGTTAAAGATGAACAAGGTAATAACACAGACACTTGGGGTTTGGAGCTCAAAAGGCCTTTAAAATCCAAATAAAATGCATATTTGTCAATCCCAGCACATGTACTGATCATATATATCAAAAAAACTTTAATATAAGCCGTTTTTGAAAAAATTTCATATTTCAACATCTATAATGTAATTATTATAGATGTTGAAATATGAAATTTTTTCAAAACGGCTTATATTCAAGTTTTTTGATATATATGATCAGTACATTGTGCTGGGATAATTGGTGTCATCATAGCAGCTAGCCAATCAGATGAGAGGATTAGAGGTGACACATCAGTTAAAGATGAACAAGGTAATAATTCAAACAAAGACTTGGAAGCAGGTCTGTGGTCTAAGGGTAATATGCTGGACTACCAGGGGTGACAAGTTTGACCCCCCTCTAATGCACTAACAATAATAACATGTTTTTTTGGATGAGTCCTACTGAGGTCCCTTGTATCAGTTCTGTATAATATGTATGTAAAAGAACCAGGGTTGCCTCTGGTAGCATAACTTCTGTATCATACACTTACCAAAAAATAACAACTAACTGTTCAGGGGCATCGCTTTATTGGGAACAACAAGCAAAAGTCAATGGACCGTTTCATAGTAACTATATAGAGAAGTAAATCTATACTGAAATTTACATATCATCCTACAAATTTTGTATATATTTAGACTTGCCTTCCTTTGAATTATATAACAAATTTTTGATGATCAAAATGCTATAGCTAAACAGTGTAAATGCAGTATCAGAGATGTAGGTAACACAGATTGGCAACTTTCTAGCCAGTTAAACTTTTAGCAAGTAAAACTTATTAACCAGATATCAAAATCAGTAAAATAGTACATTTTCTGAAAGCTTATGCATTTTTCTGTGGCTGCAGGTAAAAACTAATCTACATCTCTGGCAGTATACAGGTCAGTTATTGCAAAGAAAAGTAATATTACTGTCTGTCACTAAAATTGTAAGGCTAAATTTTAAATCATTCTTTGTTGTTTCTTCTTAAGTTCTTGTGCTGAATGAACACATTTATTTTTTGTCACAGGAGTTGTATGTGGAACTGTAGACAAAGAACAAGATGCCAAGGGAGTTAACTCTGAGAGTGATGGGGAAACTGAATCAAGGGAGAGAAGTCTGTCAACATCATCAACTTCAGAACAGAGGCATAGATCACTGGAAGCTCTTTTCCAGGTAATTTATTCACCTGACACCACACCTGTAATTTATTCACTTATAAATGCAAAGTAATTTCTTCAACTTGTGTCATCAAATTATTCACTTATATACCATACTAGCAATTTATTCACTTATGCAAGGGAATTTATTCACCTAATACCAGCAATTTATTCACTTATGCAAAGTAATTTATTCACCAAAAACCAGCAATTTATTCATTTATGCCAGGAAATTCATCCACCTAATGCCATCAATTTATTCACATATGCCAAATTTATTAATTTACCCCAAAAAATAATTTATTCCTTTGAATAAATTTTTAAAAAAAATTTTTCTTTTTAAAAATTCTTACCTAATGCTATTTATTCAATATATTATTTATTCACTTAAACAATGAGAAGGTTAAATATCCTAAAGACCTTTTCCAAATTATTTCCCTTGACCTTTTGGAATTTTTAAACTGATATAAATGAATTTTCAGTAAACTTTTTTTTCCCTTATATTATAATTTAAATAAAATGTAATAATATAAAGTTATAACATTTTTTTTTGCATGGTTCCTTTTCTTGAAAGACAAATTTTTTTTAAAAAATTTTTTTGGGTATAAATACAACTTCATTCAAACATTAAAATTTGGCATTACACAGAGTTTTAGAAGATAAATTTTGAGGGAAAACCTAGGGGACCCCGTATTGCCGAAACTTTCAAATGTTGTTTCTCGGGTTACGGATACAGAATTACAGGCGATATCAAAACAAGGTCCTGACGGACATCATGTAGTACAAATAGAACACGACAATGAGGAGGTAGAGACAGTGTACGTGATAGATCCGGGAATCCAGGAGAGAGAAGAGTTGGTCGGTGAACCGGAGGTAAAGATATATGGACAACAATATAATCATTTTCCGGTAGAATTTTATTACTGAGATAATGAAATTCTACATATAGCAATGAAAACAAATAAATATAAAGAAATTGATGACCTGGATTGATGGTAATTGTTGAATTTTGTTCATTAGAGGATTTTTGTTCATGAAAGGAGCTTTGTTCATAAGAGGTCACAAATAAAGCCTATCTGACTTCTCCTAGGTTAACTTATTCTTCACTTTAAAGTACCATTATGTATATGTACTTAAAAGCAGTGAGTAACAAAGATCTCAGTTTTTTATCTTTATCGTACAGATGCTTATTGAATCTTTATAAAACACAATGAAGGTAAAATATGCTGAAGTTACAAAAAAAACCCACTAATGATGGATTTTTAACATTAAAGATTAATGATGTTCACAAATTTGAACCAAATTGATGATTGTAAAAATATGGCAAAATATGAAATTATTCGATAATATACCCCAGAAATTATGATGTTTAACTATACAGTTTGTTTGGTTATACAAAATTTATTTTAATTTGATTGTGTAGGAAGCTATAAACTTGTAGACACACTTTCGAATCGTACTGAGAAGTTCATTTGTAACATCAATTTTTATTGGACAATCATGATTTTTATAATATCTATATACACAAAGAAATGAATGGTGCAGTATTAAAACATTCATTGTTAAGAGTTTTGACAGGTTATATGGCCATATATAAACAGTTATTTGTGAGAAGCTTTGGATATACAGGCTTTAAAACCATTTCATTTGATTTGCTATCATACTATGATATTTTGAATTTCTCTATAACTGAAAGTATATTTCTATCCTGTACTTGTGTTAATTTTTTAGCTCGACTATACAAAGTATATGGAGAGCTGTACTACTCGCCCCGGCGTCCGCGTCCAGATTTCAGATTAAAGTTTTGGTGCAGTAAAATATTTTTCACTATAACTTTGTCATTTCTTAAGGTATCAACTTCAAACTTCAAATATATGTTCCTTATCATCAACCACATCTTATGTGACAAAGGTTCATAAACTCTAGCACCAATATTTTCAGATTATCTCCCCTTGAACTTAGAATTTTCCTTAAAAAATACTATTTTTTACTGTTACTTCTTTATTTCTTAATGGATCAACCTCAAATACTTCAAATATATGTACCTTTATCATCATCCCCATTTTATGTGAACAAGGTTCATAACTCTAGCACCAATATTTTCAGATTTTATCTCCCCTTGAACTTAGAATTTTCCTTAAAAAATACTATTTTTTACTGTTAATTCTTTATTTTCTTAAGGGATCAACCTCATACTTCAAATATATGTACCTTATCATCAATCCCCATCTTATGTGACAAGGTTCATAACTTTAGCACCAATATTTCAGATTTATCTCCCTTGAACTTAGAATTTTCTTTAAAAAATATTATTTTTTACTGTAACTTATTTATTTCTAAAGGATCAACTTCATACTTCAAATAAATGTACCTTATCATCATCCACATCTTATGTGACAAGGTTCAATAACCTCTAGCACTAATATTGCAAGAATTATCTCCCCATCAACTCAGATTTTTTTTCTAGAAAAATGTTATTTTTTACTATAACTTTTTTAGTTTTAAAGGTATCTACCTCAAACTTCAAATACTTATTCCTTATAATCAATTATATTTTATGTGACAATGTTCATAACTCTTGAAGTAATTTTTACAGATTTATTTCTCTTTGAACTTAGGATTTTCTTTAAGAAATATTATAACTTTGTTACTTTTTAAGGTATCTACTTCAAACTTCAAATATATACTTCTTATCATTACATACATGTTGTATGACAAAGTTCATAACTCTAGCGTGACTATTTCTAGTATTATTTCCCTTGATCTTGGAATTTATTTTAACAAATGTTATTTTTTTACTATAACTTAATGCATAATTATACATAATTGATTTTTCTTTCATAGTTTTGTCCTCCTTACTGCGTCCAGTATTTTATTAGTCGAGCTTGGCTGTCTCCTGTGACAGCTCTTGTTGTACATAAACTAGTCAATTGCAACCTAAAACGCTCAGATGTGGCGCATAGTTGGAATTGGCATTTTGATTACCAAAACCCTCTGTAAAGTTTCTGCACTGCTAGGGCAGTCATAAAATAAAATTACAAGAAGTGCCCAACATTACAAGTTGAACATATCCCCCATTATTCACTATTTTGGTGCCTAAGTTAGTCTACCACATTATAAAGTCAACAGTGTGAGGACAGACAAGAGTTAAAGACTTGGCACCATTTCTCACACAAAGATGAGTCAGCGGTGTGAGGGTAGAGAAGAGGTAAAGACTTGGTACTGTTTTCTCTCACATTGCCAAGTACAGAACCAACCATTAGTTTGTTCAGATCCCTACAGCAATTCTGTTTTCATACAATGTACATGTATTCTGTATTTAAGGTTGTTCATGAAGAAGTACATATTCCAGCAACTGTTAGCCCAGAGTCAGACAATGAAGGGGACTTGGCCATCCATAAAAAAAGAGTAGGTATTTTATAATATATCATCGTAGAATCAACCCTCTTACCATTGATTGTTTTTGTATCTAGTCTGTGACTATATACTGTTAGCTCCTTGGTCTTTATCTTGTCTGTTTCGAAGAAAAAGTTGAGCTCCCTTTGGCGCTTTCATCATTGTATTTGTGCAAAAACTTAAATGTAGCCCATTATTCAATCATTTCAATAGGTATCAACATGAAACTTGGAATACTTGCTTATCGTGGCAAGTTGCAGTTGTTAGACAAGAAGCATGATTCTGAAAGCAATATTTTTTGGAATTATGCCCCTTTTTAACTTAGAATTTTTAACAGACGAGCATTACCACCTCATGCTGTGCTCTTGTTTAACTTTCCGTCGGATTCCTCCAGCTCAAAATGAACGCTTTTAAAATCAGAGCATTACAAGTATATTACAAAAAGATCAGTTATAGTTATTAAAGATTTTCAAAAAATATATTTTAAGTGATAGCACTTTATAATTGGCATTAGCTTAAATATTCAGAGAACAGAAAGAGCTAGCTATTCACTATTGCTGTCGCCGTCACACTTGTTTTTGCATACAAGTTTGTATACACTTTTGTTTTTGCATACAAGTTTGTATACACTTGTTTTTGCGTACAAGTTTGTATACACTTTTGTTTTTGCATACAAGTTTGTATACACTTTTGTTTTTACATACAAGTTTGTATATACTTTTGTTTTTGGATACAAGTTTGTATACACTTTTGTTTTTGCATACAAGTTTGTATACATTTTTGTTTTTGCATACAAGTTTCTATCTCCTAAACCACTAAAGGGAATGGGTTGAAACTTCACTCACTTGTTGACTGTGATTATCTAACATGATAGGCATGGGTCCTATAACTCTGAATAAACTTTTACAAAGTAATACCCTTTTTTGACTATCAACCACTGAGAACAATCAAGCTTACTGACAGCTCTTGTAAAAATGATGAATAGACAAATAAAAAATTACAGTAAAATTTTACATTTTTAGCTCAGCTTTTTCAAAGAAAATATTTCAATTATTGCTGCAGTCAGGTTGATTTTTTGACATTTTGACTTAGAAATAAGAAAGATGTTTATATAATAATAATACCATTTGATTGTAATGATAAATATTGTTTTTAGAGTAAGAAAAATGCCAAAGAAATACAAATATTTCTCATTTTCTTTCAGGCAAGTTTGTCACAGAGTCATGGGTCATCAAGTACACAACCTTCAACATCAGCAGAAGATGAAGAGTCTGTTGAGACACCAAAATGGCGGCAGTTCAAAAACATAGAGAGAATCCTACAGAATGCTGGGATCGACACTTCGTCTAAGACGTGGCACACTTTAACACGGCCAGGTCGGCATATTTGTCCCTACTGCCAGCGAGCTTGTACGAAACCCAGTGTTTTGGAGAAGCACATTCGAGCACATACGGGAGAACGCCCTTATCCATGTCAGGTGTGTGGATTCTCTTTCAAAACTAAAAGCAACTTATATAAACATTGTAAATCCCGTGCACACACTCTGAAGACAAATGTTGAAGCTAAAAAAATGAGAAGTGGAAGCTATGTGCCGGCTCAGGGATTAACGGAGGGTACCGGTGATGAAACTGACTTACAGTCGATAGAGGGTGGTGAAGTTAGTGCTAACCAGTATATGGACCTGGAGAAAAAGAAAATGGAGCCTGCTCAAAGGCATGTGATACAGGAAGTAGTAAAATATCTAGAGAAAGGCAAAGGACAAAGACCTAGTGAAGTGCAGACGGAAAGGCAAAGAGCAAAGTTAGAAAGATTAAAATCTGTACAAGAGAAGAGCTCTTCTGATTTAAAGAAAATAGATGATGTGAAAGCGTTTCAGAGACAATTAAGTTTACCAGTTCTTCCATCAAACTACGTGTCAAAAGGAGGAGCTCATTTCCAGAAAATTGCACCGAAAATGTTTGAGACTGCAGAGAGTGGTGAAGTAAAAAACGTTGCTAAAATTTTGGTACCGGGAAGTTTTCTCGTAAATGAAAAAGGTGACATTATACAAACGTTATCAAATGTTGAAAATCCAGATCCAGGTGGGGATCAGCGAGAATTAAGTAAATCTGAAACCGAAGCCGAGTCTTTATATTATAATCAGATAGAAATCGTAAACTTACCAGATCCTGATACCGACCCTGAAACCTCTACTAAAGCATTGCATGACCTTGAAGAACTGAGCGAAAAGTTTTCAAAAGCAGCAAAAGACGGGTTACGACTGTCAACAGCTGTTCAGAGTCTTCCTGATAAACGCGTACAAGTTGTTTTACAACTCCAGCATCCAGGCATGCAGACTACTCAGAAATCTTTTGGCAGCAGTGAAGAACGTCCTGCTACACCAGTGTTGTCAAAAAGTATTTCATCAAATGCACTTAAAGAAAGAATTCAAAAACTTATATCTGCAAATGCTGCTATTGTTGATACCCCAAAAGTTGAACCTCCGAGAGCAAAGTGTATTAAAAGAAATATGTCACGGCAAGATAGCGAAACTCCACAAAATATCCAGTCAGAAACTGAGTCAGCTGTGACAGGTCTTCTTATGCCGAATATTAACTCAGTTCCATTACAGCCAATGGCATTGGAAGGTGAACTTTTTCACCAGATAAGTACCGAAGGACAAGGAGGAGTTTCAAAAAAGAAACAAAGTAAGAATCTTATAGTAGAAAGGATGGAGTACGAGGGTGAAAACGTGCTTATTATAAATAATGAAACTTCTGACGATGATGACGAATCGTATGAAAGTCCGGGGAATGTCAGAAAAGATATTGTAAAAGGTGGTAATGGAAACTTCCATGTTGTTGTCTCCACTGGAAGTACAGCTGTCGAGCCAGGTAAAAGTGTTGCAGAGCTTACTGCTAAAAAGCTAACAAGCCACTTTTCTGGTAAAGGTTTACGAGAAGGCCTAGAATTGCCTCTGACAACAACATATTTACCAGTTGTAAGTTCTGGTGGTATAGTTTCTCACTTAAAACAGAGTCTGCTTACTATCAGCTCTTCCATGGCAAACCAGGCTGCCTCTGTTGTCAGAGGCCATAAGCCTACTTCTTCTGTTATCATGTCACCAATGACGGTTTCTTCATCCCCACAAACACCTGGTCAGATTGGTAAAATGGCTTTGAAAAATCTTCAAATGAAATCCCGTAGCTTATCTGTATCATCAGCTGCAGCATCACATACACCAGTATTGTCCCAGTCAACTTTTCAGATTGCAGGTCATTCAGCTGCCAAGTTGGCAAGTCAGTCTGTCAGCCCAGCAACAGCTTCATATTCTGTCAGGACACCAAGTCAGGTGTCTGTGCAGTATACTATTCCATCTCAAAGTCAGGCAAGATCACATTACACAGTTCATTCACAGGGACAAACACCTGTCCAGTATACAGTTCAAACACCGGGTCATGTTCAAGCACAGTACACAGTCCATACCCCTGGGCAGGGACCTGTGCAATATTCTGTTCAGACACCTGGGCAAGCACCTACTCAGTACACAATTCAAACGCCAGGTCAAACTCCCACACAGTACACAATACAGACTCCAGGGCAAGCACCAGCTCAGTTTATGGTTCAGACACCTGGTCAGCCACCAGCTCAGTATGTTTTGCAGACACCAACCACCCCAGTTGCACAGGTTTTACTTCCAGGATCAAATGTTCCAGTGTTATTACTTGGTGGTTCCAGCGGAAGTGCCGTTCCATCCATCCAGCACGATCAGCAGACGGTGATATTGCAACAGACACAGCAACAGAATAGGACACCAGTTGTCATACAAACTCCAGTCAAAACACCATCTCATCCAGTTGCTAGCAGCCTTCCTAGTCAGGCATATTTAGTCCATGCTGATGTGCAAGGACATTCTGGGTCTCAAACACTTTTCACTGGTCAACAGTTTTCTGCTGCTGTTTCTACACCAAAGAGTTCAGTAGCTGTTGTTCAGTCTCCACTTTCCTTGCATAGCAGTCAGTCTGATCCAATGAAAATTTTATCCTCAATTGTTTCCAACACAGTCAATCAACAAAGAGTTCAAAACCAGTCAAAACTTTCAGCACATCAACCGAAAGAGATCAAGATTGAAATAAAACTTCCACCACCTTCTCAAAATGTTTTACCTACTCCACAAGGAAGTGTTGCATCTGCTAATCCTAAACCCAAACCACCCCTGAAACGACAAAATCCAGTCTCTGTGGTACACAGTCCACCAATTTTGGCTGCTTCTCCAGTTATGAGCTCTCAGAAACCAGTTTTCAGGTTTAAAAATGTAGCAACCAGTCTGATGTCTGTCAGTAAAATCAGCACGCCAACCTTGGCATCGCCTGTCATTAGACCACAAATAGCATCAATAAGAAGCCTTGGCCCAGCTTTAACATCACAAGCTACTTCGAAACTTCCACAGACATCAGTTATAAAAGAGTTTTTATTGCGAGGAAAATCCCCAGGGGAAAGCATATGCGATATAATTGATAAAAATAGATCACCTTCAGCTGATAGGAGGCAAGTTTTGTTCTTTTGTCCACACTGTCATATTTCTTTTAAAAAGAAAGAGACTTTGGATCTTCATGTTTTATACTATTGTAAGAGAGGGAACCAGTCGGGAGAACCAGCAGAGAGGACTGGTTCTCTAGCAAGTACAAAAATGCAGACAGAAATAGTTTCAAAATTGTTTAGCCAGCCTGGAGGAAAACAAGTCATTGCTGCAAATATGGCAGCTGAAATTTCTATAAACAAAGGAGATGCATCATTAGGTAGAGAAAAGTCAATATTCAAATCAAGGACAGAAAACTTAGACGATTCTCCCACCAACAAGAAAAGAAAATTTGAAATACCTCTAAACAGGAGCAAAAGTGTAATAATACCACCAAGACGAAAAACTGTGCAAATGCTTCTTGGTTCATGCAAAACAAAAACTGAGGACAAAACTCAAAGGCAAGGTCTGGGTAAAAAGGACTTATGGCAGTCAAAGTTGAAAGGTCAAATATTGAAAAGAAAACTGAAAGGAAAACTATTAATGAACAGGTCAATGAGTGTTGATAATTCACTGCCCAATAAGCCTAAAGAAGAGACTGATCTTTTAAAATCTGAAGTGAAAACCAGGTTTTCTGAGGACAACATTTACAGAGACCCTATTCCTGAGAAAAAACCAAGGCTAGTCCGTTCATATGATGACACAATTACGGGAGGAATTTTGGTCAAGAGACCTGTATTCCGACGCTCAAAGTCAGTACCAGAAATACCCCACAATGATGAAGAAAGTTTTGATGAGAAAGATTCCTTTGATATGGTTACCGAAGAGGAAACAAAAGAACAAAATGAGATCCTGGCAGCGGAAAAGAAAAAAAGCTGGCAGTTGGAAACAATTCCAGTTCCCATAGTAACTGCTAATTGTCTTGTAAACTCCAATAGCTCTATTAAACCAATTTATCAGCAGAATTTCAGAATGAAAAGTTTTGAAGGAATGGGAACTCCAATTCAGCTGGTGCCGTCTGCAACACTAACACCAAGACCGGAACTCATGGAAATTGAAAAATTGCGTAAAATGTTTTCCTTTGAGTCTGGAAGTTTAAAGCTTGTTCAGCCCATTAACTGTGACAATGCTTCACCTACAAAGTCACCATTAAAATCACCATCTTTAAAATTACCAGTGACTATACCAGGTTCAGGTGCAAATGATGCTGGTAGTAAAACGCAAGTAGCTGCGTATCAGTCCCCAAGTAAAAGCCCGAAATCGCTCCCACTTCAGTCACCATCTACACCCAAGAAGAGCCCGAGTGTACACCAGTTCTCACTTATAGGACACACCTACCCATCTATGAGGAGCATGACTCACCTGACATTTTGCTGTGTTGATCGTCTTCAACCAAGTTATGTACGATCAGGAAAGAAGGTGTCTATGTACTCGAATTGGAAAATAGCTCAACAAAACACAAATCCTCTTGGTTTAGCAACACGGTCCTTACTATCACTATATAACTCCAGGTATTCTACAAATCCGGTTTGGGTAACCAATTGCGGTGCTGATCCACGCAGCGGTGCCATCACTCACAGTAGCTACTGGAAAGTGAAACAAGGCGACACAAATATAGATGCCATCTTCTCACTCATTGATCTGACAGACTTTCCGTTAGAGAAGGAGAAGAAATTTGAAGTGGGTTACAAAACAACAGAAGAATCTGTTTACGTGAGAGGTCGAGGTAGAGGAAAATATGTCTGCGAAACTTGTGGAATACGCTGTAAAAAACCAAGCATGTTGAAGAAGCATATTCGCACACATACAGACCTTAGACCATATAAATGCAAACATTGTAAATTTTCATTCAAAACTAAAGGCAATCTACAGAAACATATGAAATCCAAATCTCATTATAAAAAGTGCTTAGATCTTGGAATAAGCCCTGTACCAACTGCAATTGATGAATCTCAGATTGATGAAGAGGCTTTGCAGGCACAGTGTTACCTTTCAAAGAGGGCTAAAATTGTCGACAAGGTGAACAAGTCAGTGGAGTCTGTGGATAAAGATACTAATACCACGGATGACAACGATGATGATGAGGGTGATGATGAGGATGAGAGTAAGGTTGATGTAGATGGTGATGAAGATGATGACGATGAAAACGTTGATGAAAGTGTGAATAGCAGTTTAGACATGTCCATTGATACAGTCAAAGGAGATGATGAGCAAGCCGATGAAATGGAAATTTACCAAAGGTAATTACAGATAAGCTTAGTTCATTTCAGACAGTGGTTTTTGGCAAATTTTGGTGCAAAAAGTTGGCTGTGTTCCCCTCTTCAAAATGAATGTTTTTCCCTGCATTTGGCAAACTTGAAACAGACAATATTATTCAAATTGAAATTTAATAATTATGATTAAACAAAATTAAAACATTTATACATATTTTCGTCTAAGGTGGAGGTAATTTTTAGAAATATTGCCATGTTTTACTATAATAGTGACACAGTATTCCCCTAAAAAAATGGACCTTGTGCAGTTTGCCCAATTCCAAAAATATCAGGTCATTTAGTTATGCATTTGTCATTTTACAGGTCTACAATAATGTTCATCTCAAGTAATTTTCATAACACTTACTTGTGTTCTAATAAACTTGTTTAGCTTTGAATATGTAAATTTGGAACTGTTCATTGTTTGTGAATTTTGATTTAAAAAATGCTAAATATAACCAGCCAAAAGTCAGATTTTAGATAAGGAATGAAAGTTGTTTAAATTTTGGCATTCTAGAAGAGTATTGTGAGATATAATGCTATTGTTTAATAATATTTTACAGTATAATTACACCAACCAAGCAGCCAAGTATTTCTCAGACCCAGCATAACCTGTTCTTACAGTCTCTAGGAATCATAGCTAAACAACAGCTTACTGGGAACCAGGTAAGATTTTTATAGTAATCACATCCAATGTGCACTGGGAACCAGTTATGATTTTGCTGACTCTTCTAAGAATTCTTATGTTTTTACAGTCTTTTGGGATCATAGCACTGGGAACCAGGTAAGAATTTTTTTTTAATCATAGCCAAATCGCCAGGGAACCAGGTAAAGCATTACAATGATCTTACAGACCCGGGGAATTATAGTTAAACAATAAGTAACTGAAAACACAACTGAATTCATGCATTCTTGCACAACTGATATATATTCTTTGCCAAAAATATCCAGGAAATAGAACAGGTATAATTTGATAAGTATTGAAGTATGAAATATATATAATATGGTGTATTAAATTTTTCATCATCAAATAAATTATAATATTTCTATTTCACTTTAATTTATTAAAAACATTATAACTGAACTATATTTTCAGGCTGGTTCACCGTTACAGTTGACATGTTCTAAATCCTTACAGCTGCCCACTGTAACAAGTCTTGGAATCAGTCTAGATGGTCTGAATCATCTAGGAGCTCAGAAATCTGTTTCGTCTGCTGGATCTGTGTCAGAAGGCGCAAGCACATCAAGGTTTGTTTACATAGGGTTTACAGTAATACATCAGTGATATACTCGAGAACATATAATCTTTTAATTTTCATGATAAGAATTTGCTTAAATGATTAAGAATGGCTTTACCAACAAGTACCATCCTATATGTATATTTTCTGCAGTATACATGTGTACTGCTGGTAATAAATGAATACACAAGTCAATACAGACAAAAGATCTGTGATGCATATATGTGCAATCTGGTATAAGTGTGCCAACTGTTTTGAGTGTAAAATCTGATAGCAGTGTAAAATCTGATAGCAGTGTAAAATCTGGCACAAGTGTGCAATCTGTTATCAGTGTACAATCTTGTATGAGTGTGCATTCTTGTATAAGTGTGCAATCTGGCATATACTCAACATCACTTATTCGGCGTCATCACTTATTTCATGGTAATGGCATATTTTCATGTGGCCAGTGTAAAAATTGTTCAGAATAGACATGTTTTATTCATACACCTTAACAATGAAGTTTTTGTGCAAAATATTTTAAATCTCTAGATATTTTTACGTAAAACAGAACAACATTTTACAAATTTCTGCAAAAAGCAACAAGAGTCCATTAAATTTGTACATACATCTGAAACAATCATCATTTTCTAATTGTTCTTGTTTGTTAAAAAAAATTGTTTTGAGTTACAAAGTAAAGATAGTTTTAATGTTAAAATTGAGCAATATAACATTTAGAAATTCTAACTGAAACAGGATAAAACTATATTGTAACACAGTTTGCCGTGATTTAAATGATGAGGTACTGTCTTCCAAATGACTGACATATGGTCTATGTCTGGTCTTTTTAAACTGATTTCGACTGAATATATTGTTGTTTCCTTGTGTCATACTGCAGAAAAGACCTTTTTATACAATTTTTTTATCATAACCTTCATTTGTTGTTTTCTTTCTTGTTTAAAAGTGTTAAGTACCGTGAACCAAGAGGAGCACAGTATAAGTGTGTAATCTGGTATAAGTGTGCAATCTTGCCATAAAACTCTCTTTATTTAAATGCACCATCTAAAATATATAAATTTTCCAACTAAGATAGATTAACAAATTAAAATGTCGTCCAAAAAAAGAGTGAAATTATTGAAGTTATTTTATTTATTTCAGTTTGAGTACTGTATATGGAAACTTCAGTCATGAAAATGAAGGTAAGTCTACATGTATTATTATGTTGAAGTTAACTGGTTTACACCCACTGTCAGTCTATATTTATGTCTGAAATTAAAAAGTACCCAAGTTTAACTGTCCATCATCTGTCCTTATCCATAATTGCGAGGTGACCTGAGCACAAGTGCTTAGATGTTAGCTTTTGTGATGGCACTCTTATCATTCTTTTATCGTTTGTTCTTATCCACAATTTCATTCAACAACATCTCCTCCTTAACCACGTGGTAGATTTTGACCAAACTTCACAGGAATGGTCTTATGGTCGTCTTCTACAAAAGTTATATAAATGGTTTCAGAGGGATGGATTAACACATGTAGGTCACTGGAGTTAAAGTAAGACTTGAAATATAACTCCACCAAAGCTACAATGACAAAAGCATAGATATTTTACATGTAGAATCTTCTATTTATCCACAAAAGTATATAATTGAGCCGCGTCATGACAAAACCAACATAGTGTGTTTGCGACCAGCATGGATCCAGACCAGCATGCGCATCCGTGCAGTCTGATCAGGATCCATGCTGTTGGCTATCAGTTTCTCTACTTGCTATAGGGTTTGTAAGCGAACAGCATGGATCCTGATCAGATGCGCATGCTGGTCTGGATCCATGCTGGTCGCAAACCCATTATGTTGGTTTTGTCGTGACACGGCTCATATTATAGTTCATGTCCCAGAAACAAACATAGAAATATGCACTTGCTGGTTACAGTTTTCTAGTGCTATAGGGGTTTTGATGAAAAGAGCTTTGATTACACATTCAGTGGCCAAAAATATATAGTACATGTATATATGTACACTGACCTATAACTGTAACTTTCATGGGGCATCCGTGGCAGAGTGGTTAAGGTTGTTGACTTCAAACCGCTTGACTCTCACCACTGAACATTATATCATCTTGAGCTCGGATTCTGCACAGAGGTCTTCCTCCAACAGTAAAGCTTAAAAGTCACTATATGACCTATACTATGTTGGTGACCAAAAAAGACCAAAAAACATTAACTTTCACGGCTAGAGAGTTAAAGTTATTCTCAGACTGTCATTTTCAAAAAAAGCACATGATATTTTCTCTACACATGTATATTATTTATGAAATTTGTCCATTAATTTATCTGCATTATTATACATGTATTTAAAGGCTATTTTTATTAAAAAAAAAAAAAAGAATTAGGATAGATTAATCCTTGCTTTGAATTTGGAAGAGTCCATTCAAAGTTTATGAGATTTCAATATTAATTACATTGAAAAAAATTGAGCTTTCAGCACCATCAATTCCAGCAGGATAAAGATATACATATACGATGCTCATCCTTGAGTTAAATATTTTTTTCACAGAAATTTATTGAAATCTATGAAATTCTTACTGTATAATTATGTCAAATTTGAATAATAGAATAAAAAAAACACTATGTATGGGAATTTGCATTCCCTATTACAGGTCAAGTAAAATTGGTCTTTTCTTATAAAAACTGCCAGTTTTTTTTAATGACACTATATATTCATATTGTGACCCCCTATAGTGGGTAGGATTTTAAACATAGCATATCTACTTTGTGTGAAGTTAAAACATCTTTTTATATTTCCAAAGAGACTGGGCAGCAATTATCAATAATTTCTAATATCAAATATGTGCATAGTATATCTTTAAGATTAATTTCATTAAATCTTATTTTAAGATGAAGGAACAGTGAACAAGGACAGTGATGTCATTTGGGGTTTACTGAATCTTTCTGACCAATCACATTCCTCCATAGATAGTCAAAGGAAAACGGAAACTTCTACAAGATCAGAGGATTCAGAAGATCGTAAAAATCAGGTAATGAAATTTACAGTCAAATCATTGTGAACTTTTTGTTGTGCAAATTTTAGTTTAGAAAAAGAGAAATTTGACTCTGAAAATAGAAACATTTAACTCTTGCAATATGGAGATTTGACTTTAGAAATTGGAAAATTTTAATTTGGAAAATAGCTCAAAATAGAGACATTTGACAAGTTTGACATTTGTAATGTTTTCTAGTCATGGAACCCATAAGAAATGGGAAATAATATAGCCTGGGCAAAAATTTAAAAAAAAATTAATTGAATGTCTTTTTTCTTGCTAGAAAAAAAATATAAGTGACAATCGAAGTGTTACCAATAAAAGTAATTGGCTTTTTATCTTAAATTAAGTAAAATGAAATAAGATAAAACAAAATCAAATATGTCCTGAAAATTGAACAAGTTGTCTTATCTCAAGTATCTAATTATTTTGACATTTAGAGTTTTTTATGTGTTTTTGAAGACATTTTTAGTTGATGGTTCATCTGACAATATATTCAAACATTATTAACAACATTTATTTGCTTTTGAAAAGGTTTTACGTACTTGTAAAAAAAATTATGAGAGCAAACAGTAAAATTCATTAATCATGAGGATCACTTCTTGTTATTACAGGCAATCACAAGTTCTGTGTCAGCTAAGAGTACAGATGCTTATTCCACTGATGTCATCGCAAAAATGAAGGTCACACAAGCATTGAGTTTTTTACCATCATACCTGAGTACAGCGTCTGGAATAGCAAACACATCCAAATTAGGGTCGTCAAAGAGTGGTCCAATCATTGGGCAGATCATAAGGAATATCACTGCAACGCCAAAAGGGAATTCTCAAGATAAAACAAAGAGTAGCACAGTTTTTATGCCATTCCAGTTTCAACATCCGTTTCCGGGGAAACCAGCTGTTGTCATGTCAACATCAGTTGCCTCATCACCAAAAGATTCAGGGGCTGAGGGAACTACTTTTTCTTCAGCATCCACTGAAACTGTTAATGAAAGTATAAAAAGTAGTTCTCAAAATGAAGTTATGTATGTACAGATTGGTAATACAAAAGGAGAAGTGGATACTATACAAGCTCAGATTGTCAATATTGACCCTGAAGTGTTTAAATCCAAAGACGGTGATGGATTCAATAGTGGTATTACTGAAATACCTCTGGAGAATGTTCTTCAGCTCCGAAAGGTATCAGAAGGTTTATATGTTATCACCTCTGAACCTGAGGCTGCTAAATCAGACAAAACTTCACAGCAAAGATCTACTCAACCCATTGTCAAAGTGTCTTCTACTGTAGCAGGAAGGAATCTGACAGGAAGTGCAGGTCATGTGACAGGAAGTGCTTATCCAAAGGGAAGTAGTGCTAATGTAACAGGAAGTGCAAGTCATGTGACCAGCTCGGAAGGTCATGCTAGCCGATTTGTGTGCAGTATTTGTAGGGCAAGTTTTGAAGAACATCATCAACTTATCCTGCATGGAAATGTTCATTTCCTTGAAAACAGTCGGTTAACGTGCGACAGACCAAACTGCGGACAGAAATTCAGATCTCACTCTGCATTTGAAAAACATTTAAAATCTGATCATAGTGTTGAAACCAGTGAAAATCTATCCATTGTGGATGATGACCCAAGACCTTACAAGTGTGACCCCTGTGTTACTGCTTTCCGGTTGAAAGGTCATTTGACAAAACATTTTCGTTCACGTGCACACTTCAAGAACCTTGAAGCATTAGCTAAGCTACCTATTGGAACATGGGAAAAACTGGAAAACAGAGTTTCTGAGATTGATGCCAATAATGTTGATGAGTTCGTAGCAAAGGTTAACAATTTAGTGCAAATAGCCTCCATAGGTCAGGATAAATCACAAGGGTCACAAAAGGTCGTGAGCATAGACAATGATGAAGTGTTCATTGAGAATGATGGAACGGAGAAAGTGCGAGTCGAGGTGAATGAGCAGTCATTTGAAATAGTTGCATTAGGTGAGTGATGTTTGTTAGCAAGAAAGATTTTCATATATTTAACATTTATACTCCTATGCACATGCTGATCAGTAGATATCCCTTTAGTTTATACAGTCAAAATTTATTACAGTCAGATTGAGTAGGTTGCTAAAAGCTGATAGAAACTCTTTCGAGTCAGTTCCTGGAACTAATCAGCTTAAAGCAATGAAAATGTAATTTTTTCTACTTAAGGAAACAACGACTTGGCCCTGACAGTGTTTGAACCTACACAGTCTGCAATCCTTTGATAACTAGTCTGATGCCTTAACCACTCCGCCATGATGATATTAATCAGACAGGCTGATACATCAAATGTACTCTAACAAAAATGTAGGGTTTGTTTGGCCTTTGAATTTCACCTATTTATGTTAACACCTTACTTTTGGCAATAAACAAGATAGAATTTTAATATGGATATGTTTATCATACAAAAACAGAAATGAAAAGAAGGTTGGCTTTTATTTCAAGGGTATTTAAAAATATTAACACTTATTTTGTTATTTTAGTAACTTTTACTCTTATCAATGTGAATGGCCATAAAGACTCGCAGTGCCATTGATATCCCAGCCTGGTAAACAGAAATCCTTATTTTTTCCGAGATTCAAGTAATTAACATGTTGTGTGCGATTATTGACTGATTTTTGTAGTATTTGTCTTCATATTTCTACTGCAAACTAGTTTCGAATATTTTGACCTTTTGGTAATTTGTCATGGATCATAATGACCGCTTTCAATGTGTAAAAACTACTTTCTTTGTTCACTTTTCCTTTTAAATTCATTTTTAAGTTTTCATTAATCTTGAACCATGCTGCATTAAGATGGGCAGGTTCATTATAAAGCTTGAGCAGTAAAAGGTTTTACAATGTAATATTTGAAGCATCAGTAACAAAGAATTTTGTCAATTTTTCTTCCTGATCAGAGGAGACAGAGAAATACAGGGCGTACCCATTACCTGGTGTGTACGTGGACACCACAGATGCTCCGGTATCAGTGGAAGACCTGTACAAGGTGAAACCCCATAAATGTGGACTGTGTGGCCGAGGGTTTGAGACCGTATCTGAACTCAAGGTATGTTTACATATAAATGATTTTTTATGTATTTTGTTTGTTTCAGATATAAGAATGTTAAAATATATCTATTTAATGCAGAAATTTCTTTTTTTATCTGAGGCAACAGATGTGCTTACAAAAAAAACTGATTTGGCCAAGGGTCAAGGGCAATATTTTTATTTATTAACAGACTGAAAATAAAACCTATTTTAACAGCATTTCAACCGATGATATTGATCGCCAATCTTTTAAAAATGACAACTCTGTAATAGTTAATATTAACTAATATTTTACAGACCTACATTTATAAAATATAGTCAGGCATGCTTGATCCTATGATAGTAGATTACTTTCTATATCTTTACATAATTATATTATACCACAAAATGAATATTCCAAATTCTTAAACTTTCAAAATGTAGTACAAAAATTTTAAAAATTGTGCAGTGCAATAATAATTATTAACTTTTGCAAAGCAACACCCTTTTGGAGAAAGAGATTATGATTGTTGGTATAAGCTGTTGTTCTAGAGAGGTTAAAATTTAATGTTAAGTCTAATTACTTTGAAAAGATTTGATACTGTTGCTGTGAAAAGGGTTAGTGCTGTACAGAGGGCCACTCTGCAATATTTGCACTGTATAATCACATTGTTTTCATATTATTATGGTCATATTTAGAGACAGTAAGTTGAGTAGTTGCAAATGTGTTTCTGTTATTGCACATACGAGAAAACAGAATAATAAAATGTTTCCTAGCAATATATTCAACGATCAGTGCTTTACATTGTATTTAATAGATTAGTTCAATATTTAGCAGATTGGTGGTATTTTTAGTGGAAAAGTGTTATTTTTATAATTTTCCTATGACTTGCTATATTATAATAGACATGTTATTAACAGAAAACTCCACTTATAACAATATTCAGGGGAGACTGCATTATATTGTTATATCTTGATATCAATTTAAAACCGCAGCAGCAGCAGCTGTATAGCATTATAAGCCATAAAGTTACAAGTAGAGTTTACTTTAGTTGTTTATATCCAAGTCATTTGTCATGTTTATAGCTATCCTGATAATGGTGAATGTAACTCTTACTTAAGTCTTACTGTAGTTTAATTTACTTGCCTATGTGTGTTGCATGCAACACTTATAAACTTTTTATTTATTTTGTTGTTGTTGTTTTTTCAGAGTCACCTGATTACACATGCTGAGTTACGACCATATGTTTGTGAATATTGTGACGCAGGCTTCACTAACGCCCAGTCCCTGAAGATACATCTGTATACACATGCCCAGGTATTTCAACACACATGATTTTAATATTTAACCTACTTAAACTGTTCCTTATAAGTAATATTACATGTCTGAGGGGTTATCACTTTCTTTGTTGCGTAAAATATACTTGAGATATTGATTTGAAATTCTTACAATGCTTAGAAGAAGAAATAATAAATAAACACAGAAAGCGCACTCCAAAAATTTATTGACGTCAATGTTATAATAATGTATACAACTTGTGCTTCAATGTTACGCAGTCAATGACCGTTACTGCTTCTCAAAGTAATGACCATCACTAAATTTTCTATGTTGTTGACGTTAAATTGGTCAGGAAGTTTTACTTGGTTTGATAGTTCCCCTCGTGTAAGACATACAGTTATTATTCTTTTACCATTAAAAGTTTGACATGTTTATATTTATATTTCCCATCACAAGGGATGTGATAAATTGTTTCAATCAAACTAAAACTCAATGTTTTCATGATTCTGAAACCGGCATTTTCACAAAGTTTAGTGGTTAAGGTCTCAAGTCATTGAAAAAATTTTCCTTTTCATTGCTGGGGTTTTGGACCCTTTTGATTTTTTCACGAGATAAAGATGTATAATAAGATTGTGGAAAGTTGTCAATTCTACTCAGATTCGGGCTTGTGTCTAAAATACGGGATTGCAGCTAAGGCCGTCCTCCACCATTAAAGCTGGTTAGTTGTCATATGACCTTTACAGTGCTTGACATGTGAAACTCAAAAATCCCATAAAAGAGTCTTTATAATTACCTTAAAATGTCTTATGATTTAAAATCTTGTGCAAAATATTTACATAATAATATTTTATTTATACTTTTTCAGGGAACTCCTTACGTATGTGGAATGTGCGGTGAAAAATTTCCAAATATATCGGACCTAAACGACCATTGTAGGTGTTCACATCCACCACCTGGTTTTAATAAACCTGCAACAATAGCTGACCCACCATCACCGGTTTCGGGACAATTAGCCAATCAAAATGCATCTTTAGTTGCCGTGACAACAGAGAACCTACAGACAGATTGTCAAAATTCTTTAATTGCAAATACAGATACTATTTCAAGTGAAAAGCCAATGCTTAGCACAGAAGCAGAGACAGTTGTAAAAACCATACCCCACCCACATTCACCAACAGCAGAATTAGTTACTATGGCAACAGCAGTACAGGTGCCTAATACATTAAACTGTCATACAGACTACACATTTCATAGTAATTTTGATCCAAAACTACAAGTGGTTACCATGGAATCTGAATCAACCCACGTTGCAGAAGACAGTGTTCTAGATACTGGCGCAAATACTGGGCATTTGGTGATATCTGAAAGTTCTTCATTTACTGCAGAACAGTGTAGCTTAGTTGGAGCCTCTTCTGCAGCTATTCAAAACAGTCATTTTAATGAAACTGTCATATATTTAACAGAAACTTCATCTCACACAAACAGCGACATTGTTTCATATGCAGAATCTTTAGATTTTGGCACTTTGCCAGTTTCACTTGTTTCTACAATTTCATCAGACATTTCATTATCGGAACCATTTTATGAACAAAGTGTTGCTGAAAATATTCATTTAAATCAAGACCCGGACCAAACACCAGTGTGTATATTGACTGTTGATACAGATAGTATTGAGAAGACAGATGCAAGTAATTATTCTGTTACTATGGAAACAGATTCAAATATTGCAGAATCACAGATGATAGGTATACATGTAGATAGATCGAACATTTGTTTGCCCGAATCTCAAGAAGATAATGTTGCCATGGAAACTGAATCTTCTACAAATGCACCTGAAATAGGAGATTCTATTGAAAGCAAGGATATGGAAATGGACAAGAATGTACATGACATGCCAGAGTTGAAAGAACAAGGTGATACAAATGTAGCAGAGAAAATGGACATGGATATTAATGATAATTCACAAGGAGATTCGGAAGCTTGTCATGAACCTGGGGAAAAGTCAGAACATCTTGAAAAAGAATTTCATCTTGATAAAGAAATTGTAATGATCAAAGATACAAGTATGAGTGAACTTAGAACAGAAAATTTAAATGATACAAAGACTGCAGAGTCAGGTGAGATTATATCTGCAGCTAACTGTGAAACTCTGGCTGATTTACACGAATGTGTGAAGGAATCAGAAATCAGTGATAATGTCCAAGATTTTAATACTGAGCCGCAATTGGGTGGTGCAATACATGATAATAATGATGTAAATGAAGAAAGTGAATAAGTGGAAGAATATGCGATATGTAAAATTAAATACAAAGATTCAAGGATAAAATTCATAAAAGAAGTGTTTCACATTTTTTAAAGATTTATTTTGGAAGGCACTTGTAAACTACAACTCAATGGTAAAATCTCTTTGTCTGAATTGGTATTACTTATTGTAAAGAAACACACTCTTAGTTAACCTTTAATCTGCTCAACTTGTGATATAGATAGATTTGGCTTGCTTTAATTTATGGAACAGTCTATTTAAAGTTTAAGGGGATTTCGGTATCAAAATACATAACTTTAGCTACTGTTAGTATAGAGCCAGGTGGTCAGCTATGATTGCCGGCAGACTCGGCTAACTACTTGTGGTTATAGCTAATTTATTTCTGTTCCAGCAGGTGAATTCATATTATGTATTATAATTTAACATGCTTTGAGTATGCCACTAATAGGAAGTCATACAAGACTGCATCTGTTAGCTTTTTGATGTTATACCGCTTAAAATAAAAATGGACTGCTCCATGTTCAAAGCAAGGCAAGTTGATTTTACAAATTTTGGCGCGGAAAGGTTTCAAAAAATACAATTTACCTACAGAGTGGTGTCTCACTTATAATCTTAATAATATTTCCTGGTATTAAAGATAAGAGTGATGTAATGATCTGTTTAAAGGGACCACTTGAATTTTTGTAATGGCAAGATTTAAATTTTTTTTGTCAGCAAAATGTTCAAACTATTTTAATTATTGATGCTTGTACATTTTACAAGTTTTGCTTGACTCAACTTTCATGCCTGGTAAGCTCAGCTAGTTCATGATTTTAACAGTTTTACCTGGTCAGCAGCACAGGGAAATCTGTCATTTTTTATTAAATCTATATATATATAATATAAACAAGGGATACAAGTCGTGGCCTCGCACTACCAGCACGGGTTCGTAAAATGCATTCACACGTGTAAACTGTATAAAATATCCTCTATTCCATCAAAGTTATTGTAGAAGTTAATATATGAACGAGTCATTACCCAAGTTCTACTACAAACACTTCATTAAAACCTATAACATTGCAGGAAATAGCTAACATTTCAATATTTACATTGACTGTCAAGTTGTCGTCCATTTTGCAGGTGTGTTTATGTTCCGAGTATTTTCATTGGCTGATGAAAAAAACGCTATTCGTCCGGCTATATGCCGTTATTATCCGGATTATTATTATTCATTAGCCAATGAAATTGACAGTTACTAACAGAAGTTGGATTTACGCATTGGAACATACGGGCAACATCAAAATGGAAGCCGAGGATAGAAATTATCAAAACAAACATAAATTGTTACAATAATTTGTACCAGAAGTTAATGATTGCATCATTGATGGTGGTGGATAATTGATATTTAACCGTTTACATGATTAAACTTTCTTATATGAGCATACGTTTGCATAAGATGTCGTTTTACACGTGTAATTTTACAAACCGAAATTTTACGAACGTGTGTAAAAATGAAACATGAAAGGTTATTTTTAATAATATCGTGTCCATGTAACAAAGTGAGTCATTTTTTTTTTTAAATTATCAATTCTTTCATCAATGTCCAACAATTAGAAGAAAAAAAACTGTTGTATTCTGCGTTGTATTTACTTTTTCATGAATTGAGCAATTTTGAGTTGTATCCCTTGTTATATTATATATATAGTGGGAAAGGAAAAAAAATGACAGAATCCCCTGTGGTCAGCAGTAGTGTTAGTATTTAAAGCACTTTAAGTAAGTTTCAAAGAAATTTCAAAGTGAAATGCTTTTTAGAAATGCTTTCAATCAACATGCAAGTCTTTTTTGTCACATGATCTAATTTTATAGGACATGTTACACAACACTTTTGTATATTTTGAACAAATTATGTCCCCATGGATCTATTCAATACAAACTGCCGAATAAGAGGGCATAGCTTCCAGAAATTCTGGCACTACTTCCATATTATCTTTAATGCAAAACCAATAAGAGGGCATAACCTCAATATTATATTCACTGCAAACTGACAATAACCTTTAAACATTTAACCTTGACAAATAAGAGGGCGTAACCTCAATAATATGAGCCGCGTCATGACAAAACCAACATACTGCATTTGTGACCAGCATGGATCCAGACCAGCCTGCGTATCCGCGCAGTCTGATCAGGATCCATGCTGTTCTCTATCAGTTTCTCTACTTGCTATAGGGTTTGTAAGCGAACAGCATGGATCCTGATCAGACTGCCCGGATGTGCAGGCTGGTCTGGATCCATGCTGGTCGCAAAACCATTATGTTGGTTTTGTCGTGACGCGGCTCATATGATATTGAGATGATGCCTGATTTATTTAGGTTATGGCCTCTTAATTAGGCAGTGTGCATTTAATATTACATTAACTCAGTGACTGACATTCATAAGGTTACATTATTTAATGCAATATAGAGTCAGTGACTGACTTTATTGAAGTTACATCCTCTTATTTGGCTATTGCATTGGTTATAATATTGAGTCAGTGTTTGACTTTTTTGTGAGGTTACGCAATTTTTATTCCACAGTTTGCTTTGAATATGATATTGAGTTAATGAATTACTTTCTTGTGGTAACAGTGCTCCCTCTCATTTTGTTTTGGCAGTTTGCATTGAAAATGCCTGACTTTCTTGAGGTAATGCCCTCTTATTAGCAGTTTGCGGTAGTTATTGAAACATGTATGTTTTTTCAAGAGATCAGACAAATTCTTTCATGTTTAGTGAATTGTATATGATATACATGAAGACGGGTTTAAATATCTAGGATAGCCAACAACTTTATCATAAACTTTAAATATATTGTTAACCATTTCCTTGAATCTGCATGCCTCCAGATGAGCTAAAATATTTCAAGAAAGTTAAACTTGAGAAAAATGTACTAAGATTTTAAGAAATGTAAAAAAATTAAAGATTCAAGTAATAATTTACATGTTATATGCAATTAAACACTAGTATTGCAGTATTTCTTTCAATATTTCTACTGCGTTACTAACACTATTTTCTACTACGTTACTAAAGCAGGAAGGACTATTTTTGCTTATTTTGACCTATTTATGGTAATATATGTGGACTACAAGTACTGGTCACAACAAGTAAATTATTTTCTTTTTTCACTTCACAGTATTCTACTTTTAAATACATTTAAAAAATTTTCATGAAATTTAGCATGAATCTGGAAGCATGCTGCTTTAAATTATTTTAATAATCCACCATTGATTTTTTTTTCATTGATAGGTTTCATTAGATTCAGTAAAAATCACAATTCATACTCCTTTTTTTGTTTTAGATAAAGTTTCTTTTCACACTTACAGCTCTTGCCAAGTCTGTTTAAATGATCATGTTTATATTGTTAAAATTACTTAATGCTGTTTTTATAAGTTGTTAATATTGTTTTGTTTGAATCTTTGATTAAATTTAATAAAAGCCATGTTCTTGTTTTGTTGTAATAATGTTTTAATAAAAGACCATTCCAGAATAAAGTCCAAATACAGAAAAAAACATTTCACTACAGACCAAAGACGAGGGAGACCTTAAAACTATTAGAAGTCAATAAAGATCACTTCCACTTCATCCAAAAAGAACCTTAGACTGGCTTCCAGTACAGAGCTCAAGGATAACTCGACTGTTCAAGGTGGTTACAAAAATGAATGCGAGTTCTTTATATAACAGAGAAATTTAGACGAGTCGACAAATATCAAAAAATTCTAACTCATTGAAAATTGAGGAAAGGACGAGGACATGTATTGTCAATTCATATGACTTGTTACATGTTTTATAAGAGTTTTATCATTGTGACAATCAAAATATTCTCTGCATTGTCTGTTTAAAACCCTCGTAAGGATTAATTATCCTTCATATTCTCAAATATATGTCCAGGACCCCCCAAAAAAAAGCTGCAAATTTTCAAAAAAAAAACATGAGTTCCTGTGATAATCTGAAGCAGGCGCGCACAAGTACCTTAGTTTATTTTGATTCACGTAAGGATAAAATTTGTATATTCAAGAAATAAAATGGTAAATGCAGCTGCGGCTATAGATTTCTTGTGGTAATGTTAAATCTTGCAACATAACCTTTTAAAATGAAAATAGCCAGAAAAGATTTAGGCTAAATCTTGTATGTAAACAGGAACATGTTACAATTTGAACTGGCCTTAAAAGGACAAAGTAAAAAAAAAAACACTAGAATAAGGCCAAACACTGAAAATATCAAACTATGAAAAAAAGATGTGAACAACAAAGATTTCACTGAAATTCACTTTAATGTATCACAAAGTATTAATAATCAAGAAAAAAACAGTACATGTATATAATTTTTAAAGTGGAAAAAGCTTTTTCTTCTAGTAATGTGTTAACTCCTATAAAATTATAAAAGGAGATATGACGTTACTGCACTAGGTGATGATGTTTGTGTTTTCAAAAGTTAACGTTTCTAGGAATAAATGTATAAATTACTCTTGCACAAAAACAAATACTGCCAAAAGATACTTTCTCAGTTACTGTTTTCCTCAGATCATTTGTCACAATTTTGCACCACGCATTGGTCTAACCACTCTTAAGTTATAAAGATCTTTGTCAAATTTTATGACTAAAGTATAAACTGTAGGCTAAATAAATACATGTATATAAAACACAAGCTGCTGAAAGTGACAAAATCATTTCCAAAAGAGGTAAATAAAAAAATAAAAGGTTGTTTGTAGGTTTTTACAGTGCACCAACACAATATGGCACCAAAACAGGAAAGATGATTTTGGCATACCTCACATTGATGCTACATACTTAAAGCAACACCAGGGTGTAAACCACCTCACCTGCTGGAGTAAAGTGATGCATAGACTCCAGTATTTCAAACCCATTTAATTGAATTTACAATGAGCGGTATTTTTATAATACTAGATATAAATTCAACTTATTATAACTTAAGTTATTTTAATTCAACAATTGACATCTATACACCTTACTTTTGCAAACCTTAATAAAAACAGAAATACTGACAGTTTCTGACTAGTCTTGAAAACATCTGAATACATGATTAAACCTGAAATAATGAAATTGTAAGATTGTAAAATATATATGTTCTTTTGAAGCCACTAAACTTATAAAGCCCAATACTTTATTAGAATAAAGCCTGATACTTTCTTAGTGTAAAGCAGGATACTTAGTTAGTATAAAGTCCAATACTTAATTAGTTACAGTACAAACATTTTTGACAGGTTATATGGCCATATTAATGGTTATTTGTTATATTATATAACACTTTCAAAGTGGTTACTGTATATAACCATAAAAACATGTACATTGGGTCATATAACATGACAAAAGTCATTATTATTAAATATATAATACTGGACAATCACCCTCTTCCATTAAATTTTGAAAAAGAAATTGATTCATAAATTTGCATTATAGAATTTATAATAGAAACGTCATGATTACAGTGAATTCACTTCATTTCGTGGGCATGAAAAGTCGTGGTTTTGTCATAAAGAACAATTTCGTGGGTTCTTAAATTTCAAAAGATAAAATGTAAATAATGTGATTTAAAATCATCTTTACAGCAGAAGAAATGAAATTTCGTTGCATCTTTAATTCATGAATTAACATGTCCACGAAAAAGTTACAAAAATTAGTGCCCCACAAATAATAATGATTTTGTAGTATCCAATGAAAATCAACCTTACAAATACATAATTATAAATATAGATGTCAATAAACCTATAACAGAAACATTAAGCATAAATCAACACTGACAAATTGTATGCATGTCAGAATTACATAGATGTATGCAAAAATTACAAAAGCTGAGCCATCAGTATACAGCCTGGTCAGACTAAAGATAGTTAAGGCTGGCCTGGCCCTATACTGGCAGGCAAAAGGCTAATCACTGTCTGTTTCAGCTGTTTTATTCCTACATAAAATTTTAGAAATGAGTTACAGTAGCACATCATTTTTTTCAGATAGATATACATGTAATAGGTATTGTTCTAGAAACACTGTTTCATCACTGCAAAAGAGAAGCACTCTGTGAAAATTTCTTAATATATGTAAGAGTTGTAATTCATACATACAAATCTGAACATAGGTAATATGTAAAATAAGATCAGACTTATTACAAGCAACCAGCACACAATCATGTATACATCAAAGACTAATTAATAACCACTCACACATACATCAAGAACAAATAAAGAACATCAAGGACAAATAAATAACATCAACAACAGATAAACAACCTTGCACACACACACACATCAAAGACAAAAATATAGCCAGCCACACATCGACAAGGACTAATATATAATCAGGCACATATCTAAACATCAAAGATAAATAATCAACCAGACACACATAATAGTCACATTTTTTTCCTTTAGATTCCAGTCACACTGACAACGTAAAGATTTACAGGTGGAGAACAAATTCAGGCTGCAGACTCTCTATTGTGCATTTATTTCCGTGAATATTCTATGTAAATGTAAGTCCCTGGCGTGATTTCATACTGATCTCACACTAGCCACCAGTTCAGTCCGGAATATCTAGCTCGAGGGTAACTGTTTACGGCGGTAACGAGACTCTGCCGAGTTTCCACTAAACAGTTACCCAAGAGCTAAATATTCTTGTCTGTTACGACAGCCAGTGTTTGATTATTTTTCTTGCATATAACATATTAATCATATTTCACAAGGAAATTACAGAAAATAATATTTTCATATATCACTTTTTTCTTATAGTTGCGTATGAAACTTTAATGACATCATTTGAGCACCGGTAAACAGTAGATAGTCCTTCTGATATGCAAGAAATACCCATTCTAATGATGAGCAAATAATTCAAAGTCAGTGAACCAATCTATAACTCATTTATAGAGACCCATTAAAACTCCCATGGGGATACTGTCTTAACTTATTTTAATACATCATTATGAGATATGGTATTGTTGCATCACAGGTATGACACAATCCACAATGAGTTTGATTATGTTTTACTCCCTGCAAGGATGTTACAAAAAAACTTTTTATATACAAATACAAATGCATTTAACAACAAACAGATTAATCTTTGTAGAGTATACTCCACGTATAAATGTATCGCTTGAACAATACACCGCTTATATCAATGTTGTTGCTGCTGTCACGACTCTTGTTATTAAATTAGTTGTCTCTTGGTTATAACAATATAAATTCAGTGGTCCCTTGATTATGATTATAAATTTCCTGTATATTACATATAAAGAGAAAAGTTCCTGATCCTATTACATTCTCCCTTAAGTTATTGATGTAATTATTGACCTATTGATAAAATAATGTTAAAAATTTGTATATATTAATCATTATCTACTGCAAATAAATATTGAGTAAATACAAATAAGTATGTCATATATTATTTAAGAATTATTAAAAATTTATTGCAATCCATTACAACTTATCAAAAATGTATACTCAAAATTGTATAGTTAGTAACTTCATGTGTCATTTATCAAAGTTAAAAAAGAATTGAGCAATAAAAATGGCTCATGATCCAAGCATGTGGGAAAAACACACAAAATGTTATATAGAGGTTATTGAATAAGTGCAAGTTCAATTCTGAATTTATTGAACAAGTTGAATAAAATTATATAAAGCGAGCCTCTGGCAAGCACGATATTTGTTTATTCAACGAGTTCAATAAATTCAGTAATGCACTTAAACAAATTTAACAAACAACAAATAAAAATGGTTTAATTAATTTAAAAGTGAAAAAAATAGTCATTTTTCATTGACGCTATTTAGCGTGTCTAACACTATGTTTGTACAAACGATGTCAACATATATGCATGGCCATGCAATAGCATTTTTAGTCGCAGAAGTGACACCGTTATGTGATAAAAAATAATACTTATAATATAACTGTAATAATATGGCATTAACAATGTGCACAGAGTAACCAAAAATATTAACTATAAATTTTTTAATGTATACTATATGTCTATTATATTGCAAAGAATATATTTTGTAAAATCCGAGAATCAAAAAGAAGTCTTTGGATGGCAGCTATAAAACACCAAAGATAGGGATTCGCAAATTGGTGCTTTTTCTGGCCTCGCCACTCTATAATGTAAGAGACATCATTTTGTTCAATATGCTCAAGTCGGTGATCGAGTTTGAAATAAATGGAATGTTCTATAAATTTTGTTGTCCTGTCCTAAGTCTGCTTTTTCTGTCTCTGTTTAGCAGCAGATGCGGCTATTTCTTTTCCTGAAGAAGAAGAAGTGATGTGCTATTTATAGTTTGTGAATTTTCATCCTGTGTCATTTATAATTAGGTAAACTTTCATCCTCTGCAATTTATAATTTGGTCAGTATTCACAATTTGTAAAGTATAAGTATCTTTTCACCCAATGCTATCACTTATTTGGTGAGTTTTCATACAGCTTTAATAACATTTAGGTGAATTTTCAACTTGTAACTTGTAAAAATATTCTGCGGAAAATACAATTCACATGCTTTTAATAATTCAAAGAAATATTTTTGGTTCTTTTTTAATATCCAAAATTTCACAGTGTTTATACAGTACCATTGAACATTACCGAGTTTCAGGTAAAACACCTTCTGTAGTTTTCAAGTTTTCATATTGCACCTGGAATTTTTTACATCCATTAAGGGAACTAACTCAGTCAAATTCCGTTCTAGAGTTATTGATCTTAGACAATGATCTCCAATTATGATTAAAAGACATGTGAAAAAATTCAAGCAAATATCTTTAGTGGTTAATAAGATGTTGCACTCAAAAAAACTTTAACCATATTTTATTATGTTTTATATTACTTTATTAAGTTTTATGAAAGTTTCTTAACTATTACAATGTTCCATTCAGGTTATCTTCTATACTTAATTATAATACACTTTCGCAATATTGTCACCTTAGTGCAATATTGGGTAAACTCCTATTATAATTAATTGGAGTTAACCAATTATAAAAGGAGTTAACCAGTGACTGCACTTAAGTGACAAAATGAAAGTTTATAATTATTATATAATACTTACGCCATATAAATCTATTCAAAGATTCACCGAGAATGTATATACTCATAAAGAAGGCCATGAGAATAGTTATAAATATAACCCGCTGGTGCCCCTCCATCACTTGTAACACGGGGTACACCCAAATATCTGCATAGAATGCTATCCATAGAATCCTGGGGGGAAAAAAACAATAAGATATATAGATTTCAGTAAACAGGGATTTTTTGGCTTATTTTATAGCCGATATTTGGTCATATTCCCAATTGAATATAGTATATTATTTTCCCAATCCACAAGAAAAAAATTCCCAGTTGAAAGTTACAAAATAAAAATATTGAATAACAAATTCTAAAATCTTTGAAAATAAGGGCTTCTTGTTTGAAGATGCCATCTTAGAAAGTGATTCTTTGCATTCATTTAATTACTGGAAAATTTAAGTCATGCGTTTTTTTCCCCAATTTTTAACAAAAAAACGCTGAAATTCCAAATTCCACAGGCATAGGTCATGTTCCCAAAATCCTGGGGAAATAAAACCCCTGAGTACATAGATGACCATGTAACAAAACTTTCATTATAAAGTTAATCTTTTACCATTCAAGACTTTCATTATAAACCTAAATATTTACCATTCATAAAACACAGTATATAACTAAACAACTACAATACAAAATTTTCAGAATAAGGTTAACCATGTAAGTTTTTCAGTATAAAGTTAACCATTTTATTACACTATTATGTTAACCACTTACTATACAAGACCTTTTGGTATATAGTTAACCACTTACCATACAAAACAGTTCAGTATATAGTGAACCTTTTGCCATTCAAGACTTTCAGTATAAAATTAACCAATTACCATTCAGAAAAAATTTAGCTCAACCAAGAATTGAACAAGCGACCTATAGATCAATTTATTACCATTTAAGAAATTCAGTACAAAGGTAACATTTTACCACATATATGTTACCCATTAAAAAACAAGATGAACCACTTACCATATAAGATAACTGTTTGCAAATCCCATTAGTATGCCAAGCCCTTTTTTACGGCTAGGATATTCGTGATAAACTAGACATTTTTCTAACAACAGTATCGGCAGAACTGTGGTGTGCTGAAAATGTATGTCAAATTATAACATGAAAGGTAACCACTGTGGCATTGAAAGTGATAACATTAAAATCATTCTGCCAAAGTAACATTAATGTTTAATTTTGCAAAAATCTGTGGAAGATTAGTGACATATTAACTTAATGTAAGGATAGCAAACCTTAATGAATTTGGAAATATCAACTAATATAACAACAATATATCAACTACATATACAAATATACTGATTACTCAAACTGATTACAATATGTTATCCATTTCTCATTAACCTAAATATTCATTGCTGCATGAAGTCTCACAATAAAATGCAAAAACAAAAGAATATCGTAAGAGATTTTCTTATTTTACAGATATTGTAAATTTATCTGTAACAGTATGGGATTCTCTTGAACCCAGTCTATATAATCATCAAAATTATGATAATATATATATTACATGGATAACAAAATAACGGGTCATGTGTGTTGGTTACTTATATATCATCATTCAGACATGGTAATTATATTTACCTCTATATGATTAAGCCAGACTGGAATTATTTTGTCAAGTCGTTTAGGAAACACCAGTTCTCTGTCTACAGCATATATACCCCAGAATGTCATTACCACAAACTGAAAACAAATGTTATCATCATGTCACTCTTACAACCTCTGACCTCTTAACTCATTGGCCAACAAAAAATTTTGATTGGGTTTAAGTCACACTGATACTGTCAATTCTTTGTTTGGGTTTTTTAGGTCACATCAACACACTATAGAACATATGACAATGTTCCAGCTTTACCGATGGAGGAAGACCCCAGGTGCCCCTCCATGCATTATTTCAGGCACAAATGGGCACCTGAGTAGAACCACTGACGTTCCGTAAGCTACCTGGATAGCTTTCTCACATGAAAGAATCCGAAGTCCCTGTAGGGATTCAAACCCACAGCCATGAGGGGCAAGTGGTTTGAAGTCAACAACCTTTACCATTCGACCACGGACACCCTGACACAGTCAAAGTCATATGACAACTTTCCAGTTTTAGTCTAGCTGCCAATTATTTTTGGTACAAGCAGGCACCTGAGTAAAACCACTAAACTTCTATAAGCTACCCGAAAAGCTTCTTCTCAAGAAGTAATCCTATGTACCTGGTGGTATTCAAACCCACAGAGGTTAAGGGCAAATGATGAATTCAAAGTTTCAAACCCACAGTGGTTAAGGGCAAATGAATCAAAGTCACAGACTTTCAATTAACCTTACTCAGTCAAGGAGGCATCCCTAAAAAATATATACATGTATTACAGTAGATATAAAGTTTGATATGAACTAGAGTTGTGGAAATAGTCTTCATAACTCCAAGATTACTTTTTACTTTAAATAAGACCTTTGTCGTCATTTTTTATATAAAAAGGCTAATAATCTGATAACCAATTACAATTTATAAAACCAGTCATGAACTAGGATCATGTCATGTTCTAGGACCAGGTCATAAACTAGGACCAGATCAAAAACTATAGAACTAAATCATGAAACTGTTTCTCCACTTACAGTTCCAACAGGGTAGACAACTGCTGCCAGGAATGTGTTCATAAAGCTCTGTAGACGCGTTTTCTTGCCCTTCTTGTCTGAAGGTCTTACGTTTGATCCCCATATGTCATTCACTACAGCCAGTCCAAAATAAAATGTCTGAATCAACTGAAAATACACAAACACGAATAACATATTTCTTTAACTATATCAATATAGAAATTGCCATTTTGCTCTGTAGTCAGATTTTTAAAGTATTTTACAGATTTTGGTGAAAATTTGAAGTTAGTCAATCAACAGTAAAGAGGCTAGTCTCGCTTATACTTGTGGCCGTGGCAAGGTTAAAATCACTTTGGTTCCAGCATAAATACCAGGTTTCTTCATAGATGACATCAGTACTTGCTTATTATGGTTAGTTTCAAGAAACTGACACAAGCTGTAAAGTTTAAATCATGCTATGATGAATATGTCTTATATGATTATTAATTTCCCCATTATAATTTTATATATATAATGTCCTTGTAACATCAATTTTTTTTACAAATATAATCAAACATACAGAGTTGAAAAACCACCCTTATGAGTCAAGTTGTTTGTGCATATTTTCTTCTCAACGAACATTGCAAAGTGACAGGTCATTTTTAATATCAGCCACATAATTGATAACATGATATTATAATTAATTAATAGAACAAATTAGTGGTGGGATTAATTACACGAGTGACAAGATACCATGTCACCATGGCAAAGATTCACTTACAAAACTAATGAACGTCAGATATTTAAACTTTCCAGCATATCCTTTGTACGTAAATAAATCATAGAACGGCTGAAGAGTGTCTCCAACATACCGTACATTGTACCACACAGAAAATACGTGTATTGCAAACAAAATGGAATGCACGATCAAGCATGCATAGTCCATACTTCCGGGTCAACATCTAGGCACATGTATACATGTATTTCAGTATCGATCCGATAAGGAAGTGAAATGTTTATCGTTGAACTGTTATGTTCAATATCGATTCATCACAATGATCGGAAAGATTCAATCATGCACACACGCTAAACAAAACAAATGGATCTGAAGTAAAAATATGTCAACATTTTTGTCTAATAATTTGTAAAAGATCTAAGTTCATCATAAAGAAATCGATATATTTACCAGATTTATGAAGGTCAAAAACTTGAATCTGCCTCCATATTCCGACCACCCTATGGTAATTGTTTTAATATCATAAGCAGCTGCGCATAGATAAAACAGGAAAATAATTTGATGAGCATTCGCAACAGTATCCATTTTGAGATTGACTTTCACTGGGTCACGTGTCGATTGCTTCCCTTTATACATGCTCTGTCAATCACGCGTCTTAATATAATAAAAAAAATCGCATTGGACCGTGCTAAATTAGACCTTTTATAAGTAAACATTATACGTACTGTATACTTTAAAATGAAAAGTATCAATCTTGAAAGATTTAAATTTTCGTGCCAGCTTTGTATACATAGATCTATAACCTAAAATACACGTTATTTTTGTCCCAGATATAACCACGGACTGTAAATTACAAATTGTAAATTAAAGTCGAAAAACTTCCATTTCCCTAGTATAACTTAATGAATGGCAAAAGTTGTGGAGTATAAAATACAGCCTAACAAAAATTTTATCACATAATGCACGGTAGGCATGGGCAGTCACGAAAGCACGAGACTTCACAGAATTCACGTGCCACTAAAATTTAAATGTAGTAGAAATTGAAAAGAAATAGACTATCAGCTGTTCATAAAACATGATTGTTTGAATTTCGGATATAGCTGACTTTAAAAATAAATTTAAAAATGTTTATTATTAATTATCCTGAAAAAAGATGTCTATCATACAATATCTTAGAGACTTCATATGGCCTGTCGCCCATTAACAAAATAATATGTATGGATCTTCAAATGATATGACTTGTGTCGTTCATGTCAATAACTAAATGCATATATTGTATGTGTGCACATATGCATGTGTACGATAAATTTTGTTTTATTCTTCACGTGCATTCATTCTACTTAAAGATCCTGTATGTTGTAATTTAAGATGTAACAACACTTAAGTGAAATTTTATATATGTATATAACTATTTCCAAACACCAAAGAATATGTGAAATACTTACTGCAAATATTTATACGCGTTGTAAGTAAATAAAGTAATCATTAAAATATATGCATTAATTTTATATTGAAAAAAAATGGCTTAGTCTTTATTGAAAATCAATTTCTAATTACCTCCCTTTATTTACATGAAATGTAAATTCGGTAATATCTTTAGAAATAATGCTTTTTGAAACTTACATATTAATAAATCTTAATTTCCGCACCATCTTTATGATGCAAAACCGTAAAAATTGAGTTAAAGGATCTTTAAAAATTAGACCATTAAATGTAATGTTCTTTTTTAATTATGATTAATTTCAAAAAATAAACAAAAAAACTGTTTAAAATAATCGTCAGAAAATTAAAAGGAATCCTCAATAAATCAATTTTTTTTTAATTTAAACAATAATAATTGCTTACAATGACACGACGTCATTTAAAAATCGCCATCGGGGCTAAAATTAAGGGCTTAACTTCCGTGTTTAACAAATTACATAGAGAGTACACGTCAAACATACGTTACGTTTCGTGTAAAATTGATACACACTTTCGAATTGAATTTTCCAGAACACCACCTTTTGATATGTATTAATATTTAACCTTCAGTTAAAATAATAAGGAATAAAAGTGATAACAATCTTTGAACGGATAATTTTTTAAAGATTGAACTATAGTAATTAAATGATAAATTTAAATTATAACTAAATCAAAATATTTATTTATAAACCATGCGGGACGTTGAACGGAAGTGTATGTCATGCATATTCCTGGGAATCGGGCTATTTGCGGTGGTATCTTGTCAAATGTTTGATAAAAAGCCGACAATATATGATCACATGAAGAGTGGTGCCAACACCGTCAAATCAAACCTGATAGATTCGGAACTTAAAATTGAAAATATGGTTGGTACATTTATTTTTTTTAAATAATAATCCGTATATTGTAATTTGTCTGAAGTTCACGTTTTTGTCTTGTCGTACACTGGAGTTCGATGTCCCTATTATTTCTTTGTCTTTGTTTTTACATCATTCGTTTTATGTCAATTTGAAACACTGAATTATTAAGAAATATATTTATATAGAAAGGATATAAGCCCTGCATGGCCTTTGTGACGTTCACGTGCCTATATGGTAATTTCCATTTTTTTTAAATAATTATGTTGTTGCACATGTTCATTATAATTTATACATCAATCAAGGGTGTTTAATGGAATCAACCTTTGTTCACGACTATCTCGGTTCAACTTAAATTGCTTGAATAAGAGTCTTTAATTTTAACACAATCACGACTTAATCGTTTCATTTCGTTTGTTTTGTTTTTTTCAGTTTTTACCAGAAGAATGTAAAATAGACGAGGACGATTTTTACGGAGATCGAGGAGCTGAAATAGCAGCGGCTAAAGCGAGACTTCGGCTGATCAAAGCAGAGGAAGGCGATACGGTTACTTTGCATTTCAAAGTAAGTTAACGACAACAAAAATCTGCTGATGTTTGGGTATTAATCCTCCGAAATGTTTTTTTTTTTTGTTTACTATATAACAACTTCTGTTGTACTAGTATTTCGATTTCGAAATATTCCTTGTGGTCATATAATTATGTCGACCGATGTTTCGTGGAATTTTGTCCCCCGAAATGTTTTATTGTATTGATTAATTATGGCAAACTGATGCGCGGGGAATTTGATCCTCCGTAATGTTCCTCTGTTGATACATATATGTTTAAGATGTTATTCTAGGTGATAGGTCGATCGATGCACATGTTTTCCATTTTGTCGTTTTTACTTATCCCTAACAACTTCATTATGATTAGTTAAAAAAAAAATGCAAAATTACAAATTGTTTCAAGATAAAGATGTTGATCTTAGTCTTCAGCCGAGCAAAACTCATTTTGTTGGGTGGGCGTTCTGTTAGACATTTTACTTCCTATTTATGCATTATGTGAGTGATAAGACTTAAATTTAAAGGATAGCATATCATACATAAACGTAAGGGTGTAATGAAAAGTCCAAGTTTAAGCTGATCATCAGGGCTATACATATATACAGTTTTCCTACTTTAAATTCAGGAAAGCTCATGTAGCCTCTACCATGTTATATATCTGTTAATGTCCGCATTGCACATTGTGTAAAATTTTCACGATCTCACCATTTTTCTCCCTCCAGATTATACTTGAAGCAGACGGTACAGTTATAGACAATTCTATCCATCCATCTGAAGAGCTCGGTGGTGAGGATATAGAAACACCAGCAGTATTTTCTCTCGGCTACGGACTCGTTATTCCTGGCTGGGAAATAGGAATCACAGACATGTGTGTTGGGTATGTTTAACTTACTCATTACTTTGCAAAAAAGCTGAATTTCGGTGATTTAAGAACAAAGAAAGATATAGTTCTGGCTTCCAAAACTTTATAAGCCGCTATTTAACATTTTTGTTTTTCATCTGATGCGGCATTAAGTTCACGTCATGTCATAGTATATAAACGGGTACGCTGAAGACCTTAAGCTAAGAAAGATAGGTCTTTGAGCTACTTTATCGTCCACAGAGAGAGCCGGTTGTCTGTTTAATATTAACTGTCCTAAACAGCTATCATCTTATCTAACCACCTTAAATGTCGGTCCATTTTGACAAAATTGTGTCCATATTGTCCAACGACTAACACTACGGTATACCGTACCCCGGATATTGCTCGATATTATGAGGACTTTCATCCCATTTCGCGACTTTGAACGGAGAACGAAGGTAAGTTCAACGACGATATCTTCCAAACTAATGGCTATTTCATTTATTTCAACGGGTTTTATATATCTAGAGGTATTTGTGTAGCTCTAAAAGACGTAAAAGTATTACAGGTATTTGTAAAATTGATTAAACTACCTCTAAAGGATCTGCTGCTCACTAGGAAATACTGACCGCGATACTGTATAATCGTGGGAAATTATTATATTACCAATATAAAAAAATGAATCGAGCAAATTTTTTATTCACAATCCAAGTATGCTTTGTCCAAATTTCAGGCAAAAAGTGTGAAAGTACAAAAAGATACAGGCCAAAAAAGATACAAGAAAGTGTGCCGAGTATTGATTTTAAGTGTACAGAGTATTGCAAAATAGCCCAACTTTAGTGTACAGTGTATTGCAAAACAAAATGAGCACAGTTTCGATATTTTTGTCTAATATTCACGTCTGTTTATCTATTCCATTACATTCTGCTGATAATGCACTGTTTCTATGATATTTATTCAAATATTCAGATTCAACAATGCATTTTCAGTGTTATTACTGTTCTTTTCCTACGGGCAAATACAGAGATTTAATTTCCCATTTGATTGAAAATCACACTATGGATGAAATAAAGTGTGTGCAGGGTCGGAAGCAGGGTCAGTAGCAGGGTAGAACCATCAAAATTGACGATAAAAATCTTTAAATGCATGTCTCAAGAGAGACCCATCTCTGAAAAGAAGGAGAAGAAAAAAATATTTAGATGACATTAATAATAGGTTTTTACAGGGCAAGTTTGCTTTAAGAAACATATCGACACACTTAGTAAAATAAAATTGGCCCAAGGGCTTATGCCGTATAAGATGCCGGTATCGTCTTAACCTTTTACTACATGAGCATATTGCGAAAAAGCCTGTTTTCATTGATTTAAGCCTCTTGTTACAAGTTCAAACTGCTATAAAACTATAAAAAAAAATGCTTCAATACTAATCAAACTGGGCACAAATGTTGGCTGGACCATAGCCTGTGGAACACCATGCTCAATTTTAAATTTTCAGTTACCATGACAACGGGGGGGGGGGACGTCTCAAAATTGCCAAAAATCTCTTTTTTGCGTTGTTTTTTCCCCATCAAAACTGATTTCATGTGGCAGCAACTTCTCAATTGATTGAGATTAAGTCGCAGATTTTCGGCGTTGATTACACGGTACGTTTAATTCGACCTGAGGCCATTTTAGCCTCCCCCCTGCTCAATACCATCTAATATTGACAATCTTGAGGCAGCATTAATGCACTTTGGATGCATTTTTTTTACTATTTAAAGTAAGATATGCAATAATTATTAACGAATTCTGGAAAGGTTGATCCTTCGATAGCAACGAGAACTTTGTAAACACAGAAAATTGCTGAGTTCGTTCGACTGAGATTTTTCATGAGCAGGAATGAAAATCTGGATTATTCGCAGATGTTTCCAGTAAAGTACCTCCGAACTCTGCATATTCTGCACATATAGTGTAAATAAGTATACACAATAAGAAATATTTAAAATTAAATGTGGTAAATACTCTGTGTTTACTACTTGCATTTACTCTATATTGATAACCAATACTCGTTACACTAAAAAGCAATACTCGTGACACCGGCGGGCAACTCCAACGCAATACTCGGTACACTGACATGTGTATTTATTCTCAAAATGCACTGTCATCTGGGGTTCTATTGTTGATTGAACATTTACATCATAACCATTATCATCATTATCACATTTCACTCGATTCAAGTTTTTCTTTTAAGGAAGTATATGCACAAAAACATCAAATTTAACTGATCCGAGCTCATTTATCACGTGAGCAAAGAGACGAATTTTACCTCCTAATTACATTTCAAAGCTATTTCTCAACATTTTTGGGGTTTCAGCAACTAGAGAAATTATCGAAGTATTTGTTTTTCTATAAAATTTACATCAAACCAATTACAAATGACTAAATATCGTCACTTAACTTACCTCCTTCCTCGTTCAAAGTCGCGAAATGGTATGAAAGTCCTCATAATATCGAGCAATATCCCGGGTACGGTATAGCCAAGGCTACGCTGTTACAGTTACAATCGGTTGCTCTTTTCCATCCTTTAAGTATTTTAGTCGTTCTTATTTTTTGGGCTAATTGCAAAAGTTTTGCGTCAATTGGCCAATCGAACTGCTCTTTGCTTCGGCAACAGAAGAAGCAAATAATAAAGTTTTTGATATTAATTTTAATATCAATATATAAAAGAAAAAGTTGCATATGAAGAAATAAACTTGGCGCAAATAATTTATTAACTAATTGGCGCAAAAGATAGCACTTTCTTTACGCAAATAATATACTGCATATGAATTTGGCGCATTTGATATGTCAGTTGGCGCAACTGCAGTTCTCCGGATTTTTCTTATTAGCGTCTATGATTTCTAGCGTGTGAAAGAAGTGGTAGCCTCAGTGGTTATTTTGAAAGGCTGTTTTTGTACATGTAAAAATTTTCTGGGCGTTACCTTGCTTATTGGCACTAAAAAGAATGAATACACCACTGGCGCACAATGTACTTACAAGTCACGAAAGGTTCTTAAACATGATCAAGTTGAAAACACATAGGAAACTTCTTTGTATCGCTAACATGGTGATAATTTATATAATTCATTAACAGGCTCATATATTTTTATTTTCAGGGAAATAAGAAAGATAACAATTCCTCCCCAACTTGCATACGGATCAAAAGGATACAAAAAGAAAAACATCCCACGTAAGTTGCAAAATTTGTTTTTAAAATACACTATGTACTATTTTGGAATAAAATGGTTTCCATGTATAACACATTTTTGACCACTGGAAATTAGTATCAGGAAGTATAGTTTTCACGATCTTTCTGTTCTTTTATTTTCAGATTTCTGTATTTATCTATTTTTTGAAAATTTTCATAGCTTCAATTGTTCACGCAAATTCAATTTGATTTGTATTTTTACTTCTAAAAAAATCTTCTCAATTTATTGCGAAATAAGATGTCATTTATTATTTTATCTAATCTTATTTCAATAAAATGTATCATGTTATTTTGTGCAATAACTTGATTGTTTTTGTTGTTTTCACAGCTGATGCGACTTTAGAAATTGAAACAAGACTTGTACACCTAAAGAAAAAAGACATGGTTGATCATTATATGGACTTTATTCACAATCTCCACGTGTACGCGTTCTTTATTCTCGGTCTTACGTTCCTTTTGTCCGGTTACTACAAGGGGAAAATTGCGGAGAAGCGTAGACTGTATCGAGAGATAGAAGAAAGGAAACAAAGAAGAGAAGAAGAGGAAAAAGAAAAACAAGAATAGCAGTCATAATATAAAATTACATTAATTAATAAGATTTGCGAGAAGTGAACAATACAAGGTCTTTTTATTTATCTCAGTTATAGCTATTTATCTCAGTTAGCGAGGGAATAACTCTTTTTTTACAACAAAAGTCTCCAAATTTTCATGTGAAAATAGAAACAAATCGGTTTTATAGTTTCGAGATTTGAGTCAAATTTTATAAAATAGACAAACAGAGATCAATTGGTATTTAAACTAATGCAAGAGTTTTCGTGAATGGAGGGGGCGTAACTTAGGCGGGGCGGGAGGGGGCTACTTTAACCGTAAGATATTTATGTTACTTATGTTGCCATTTTCCTTCTATAAAGGTTTCCCATTCGTCGATCGTTTGTTCGTATAATTTCGGTCAACTTCGTCACTTTCCGTAACATGTCACAAGAATATTCACAAAAAAGTAATGGGGGAGTGTTATGTGAGGCTTTGTGTTTTAATTATCTTATAGCAATGCAGGCAATTGATTAGAGACGAATTGCATATAAGAGCAATATGAATGTATTTATTTCCATGTAATATTACATGTATTACTAGTATTACATGTTTCACTAAATGTTTAAGTGTTTTAAATGCTGTTATTTATTTTAATAAACTATTTATACAACCGAATGTTTTCCTTTATGCATGTCTATTATTTGTGAGGAAGACAGATTTCACGGCACTATCTATAGGTTTAAATTATGGTGGCTGATTTGGTACGCTTTTGTGCGTTTAGTTGGTGTTAGCGACAACACGACAAAGCGCCAAACGGCGCGTTGTCGGACTTTCGTCTTGTCGCTAGCGACAACACGACGAAAGCCAAACGGCGCGTTGTCGCCGTCTCTAGCGCGGCACGCCAAAGGGCGCTTTGTCACAATGTCGCCCTGTCACTTGGCTTATTAGCCAATCCTTCAATGTGAACCGAGCGACAATGTGACATCGCGACAACACTCCGCACGACAACGCGCCGTTTGACGTGCCAACGCGACGCATTATAGCGTACCAAATCAGCCACCATATTAAATGGATATTTCCTATTCCTAACAAACCTTAAAACGGACATGAATCGAACCATGACTTTCGTCATGTAGGGGTTCGATTAATGCATCATATTTATTCCCGTAATTGGTCATCCGACTTGAGCTGAAATAGCTTTCATGATGAATGTAATTAGCTTTTGCAACCAGTAGAGAGCATAGCTTACGTCTGACCAGGCTCTACTGTTGGTGACTTTAAACCTTAATCTTTATATCCCGAAAGTCTATGGTTAATTAAGTAAGTAAAATAATAATAAAAATAATAAATAAATAATAATAAATCCTTGTAAATCCCCATCCGGAACAGTATTTCCTTATTTATGAACAATATTTCAAGTACATGTATTCGCGACATAATACAAAACGCAAATAATACGCAGCTTCTCTATTCAAATAAACATAATTGATTATTAATCGAATAACTGAAATGAATTTTCCGAAAACTCCAGTTTTTATACTCACTGTATTCCAATATGAATCAGCGGTTGTTTCCGTAACGCAACAAGGAAAATATTGTTTGCAAACGCTCCCATTGATAGTCTAAAGGAAAAATAGTACTGATGAGGTTAATACAAAGAAATTATTCCTTATATAAACAAGAGCCACCGCCGGGCGGGGGCAACGCTCGACTTTTTACTTTTTCTAAATGCAAACATAGAAAGGTTTGAACATATATTGATGTTTCCTTTTTATAAATTTAGTTGGTCTGTCTTGTCACATTAGTTTTGTTTATATATTTTGTATATATATGAATAGAAACATTAAGCATATTTCTAAAAATAGCAACAGTACGCAATTTCTAAAAATAGCAACAATGACGCAATTTCTAAAAATAGAAAAAATGACGCAATTTCTAAAAATAGAAAAAATGACGCAATTTCTAAAAATAGCAACAATGACGCAAATTCTAAAAATAGAAAAAAAATGAGGCAATTTCTAAAAATAGAAACAATGACGCAATTTCTAAAAATAGAAAAAAATGACGCAATTACTAAAAATAGCAACAATGACGCAATTTCTAAAAATAGAAAAAATGACGCAATTTCTAAAAATAGAAAAAAATGACGCAATTTCTAAAAATAGCAACAATGACGCAATTTCTAAAAATAGAAAAAATGACGCAATTTCTAAAAATAGAAAAACATGACGCAATTTCTAAAAATAGAAAAAATGACGCAATTTCTAAAAATAGAAACAATGACGCAATTTCTAAAAATAGAACAAAAATGACGCAATTTCTAAAAATAACAAAAAAATGACGCAATTTCTAAAAATAGCAACAATGACGCAATTTCTAAAAATAGAAAAAAATGACGCAAATTCTAAAAATAGCAACAATGACGCAAATTCTAAAAAATAGAAAAAATGACGCAATTTCTAAAAATAGAAAAACATGACGCAATTATATACATGTATATATATGTATATATATATATATTTGATATATATATATATATTTGATATATATATATATATATATCTATATATGTATATATATATATATACATGCATATATATATTTATATATATATATATATACCTGCATATATGTATATATATACACACACACATTTATATATATATATATATATATATATATATATAATACATATACTATACATACACACACCAATAAATGCACAATCTGAGAAAATTCAGTAATATAACCTTGAAGGTCAAGGTCATTAAAGAGCCCAAGCAAATTTGGGTTTGATAAACAACAAGGTCTACTAAGCAAAGAATCTCATTTTAGGTATTTTCAGTAATAATTGACTCCGTTGTCACCTTAAGAATGTTCTGTTATAATATGAAGTTTATCCCTTCAAAAATAGCAAAGTTACAGTCAGTTACTGCCAAAACAATGAAAATTTCAATAATTTGACCTTCAAAGGCAATGTCATTAATGAGTGAAGGTCAAGGTCTTTCGGTATATTTTTAACAGTTATCTTTGAAGATTATTATGTTCAAGTTTGAAGACAATCCATTCAAAAACAAGAGCTGTCCGTAAGACAGCGCGCTCGACTTTTTTATTGCTTGCCAATAAAAAAAGTTTTTGCAGTAAAAGGCAATACAAGAATCTCTGTATTTTTAAAGTGAACAATGGCCATGAGCATTAAGATATTTAGTGAAGAATTATTTTACTGAATTGTGTGATACCCTTGAACACTGCAGCAAAGTTTGAAATGTTTAAGTCAAAAGAGGGCTGGTAAGAAAGAAAAAAAAACTGAGTTGAGCCTTAAATAAATTTAATAGTATTAAACCCACTTTGAGAGAATAAGGTATTTTTACGTCACTCAGAACACCTTGGTAAATGACATAATAACATAATTTTTCAAGAAATCTATGCCAAGGAAGCAGTATATTTTTGTACAATCAGCATAATATATAGATTTGACTTTGTATGTGAAAGTATTATAGTTACCTTATAATACAAGTAATAGATAAATTTTATCAAGCTTTTTTAGATGTTGTCAGTTGGTCACAAGTGGATCTCTTTCACACAGGCTGTGGGTGACTGGTTACTTTTCGTGGGTCCACTATGTAGATAATGCGTTGTAAACTGATATTTGAATTACATGAAGGAAGTTCAATTCATTATTTAATGTCATGCTAAATGTTCATGAAATCGTGACATTGAGTATATTTTTACCAATTGGGGCATCTCCTGGACATGTTTGGGAATCATGATTGTAAACAAGTATTCCAACTTTCAAATTAATATCTCAAACAGTTCAGTCAAAAAGTGGACTGGTACTAAAAACTTAACCAAGATTCTAAGTCGATAAAAGGCCTTAATTTTTAAAACAAATCCTTGACAGAGTTACCTTCTCTTGCGTACAGATGGGGGTAATGATGTGAAATAGCATTAAAAGTTTCAAAGCAATATCTCAAAGGGTTAAGGCAATAAGTGGATTTTACCCATATTCAATGTATTTTCTAAGTCAAAAAGGGGCATAATTCTGTCAAAAACCTTGACAGAGTTATGTCCTCTTGTCTGTTGATGAAGGTCGTGATGGTAAACAAGTATGGTCAGTTTCAAAGCAATACCTCCAATGGTTTTGAAATAAAGTGAGGTGGTACAAAAAAAACTTAACCAAGCTCAATACACTTTCTAAGTCAAAAAAGGGCCATAATTCTGTCAAAAACCTTGACAGAGTTATGTACTCTTGTCTGTAGATGGAGGTTATGATGGTGAACAAGTATGGTAAGTTTCAAAGCCATACTTGTAATACTTCTGAAATAAAGTGGGGTGGTACGAAAAACTTAACCAAGGTGTGACGCCAACGCCGACGCCGGGGCGAGTAGGATAGCTCCCCTTTTCATAGAAAAGTCGAGCTAATAACAAAGTTACAGCCAATAATAGCCAAAAAAATGAAAATTTCAATAATTTGACCTTCAAAGTCAAGGTCATTGATGAGTGAATGTCAAGGTCTGACTGGTTATTTTTAAGGGATATCCTTGAAGATTATTATGTTCAAGTTTGAAGACAATCCATTCAAAAATAACAAAGAAACAGCCAATAACAGCATGAACAAGCAAAAATTGGACTTTTAACCTTGAAGGTCAAGGTCATTTATGGATGAAGGTCAAGGTTAGTGTGGTCTACTGAAAGGTCTTGTCCCAAGGGTTGTTGTGGCCAAGTATGAAGACAATACACCAAGAAATAAAAAAGTTATGATCCAGGTACAAGTTTTCGGACGGCAACGGCAACGGAGACGGCAACGCCGACCTGACTATAACAATACCTCTACTTTTTTTTTCAAAAAAAAAAAAAGTCGAGCTAATAAAGCACTGACAAAAACCCATAATGATGCTCAATCGGAACTTTTCGGTCCTTTCCGTCAGTCTTCGGATTATTGATGTAACAAATGAAGTCTTAGGTTTCGATTTCTTGCTAGCAAAAGTCACAACTTTTCAATAGATATGTAAGTTATTGGACCACATTAAGGTGTGACCAATTTGACACAAAGGCCAGGATTCATTAAACTACTCTATAGTCTGTATTTCATGCAATTGTTTAAGCACGATGCCATGTAGTTTCACACAAAATAGTTAAGTGAAAGTCTTTGTAAAGTTAAGTGACCACTAGGACCCGACCAGTTTTGTCCCAATTTGTATGATCGATATTTATTTTGTACAGCGCCTCATAGTTACGCTTCAAGCTATATAAATAAGCTCTGGGCATTGTCGTTACTTAAATCCACTTGCATGCATGTTTAGTACCATTAAATGAATTACTGAATTCAAATTTTATAGGTCACCTTTTGGTTGATAAGTAGAACTGCCTCTGTCATGGCGTGAATACCCCCGCATACCACTTTGTCAGACTCAACAGTGGTCATTTACAGCTCAAGGGCAACCTCCCTGTCAAATCTGAGGGTAGTAAGCCAGTGAATTGCTAAGTTATGTATTCTACATGTTTTAGTGGCAAAGATCAAAGTGACCTTTACCTTTGCCCTACTGACCTCAAAACTTAAACTGCCAATGCATGACTTGAATACCCCCCCCCCCCCCATTTCATGCGCTTTGCCTGGAGGTGTTTTATGATGAATATATGAGAGCATAATTATATCTTCCAATGTGAAATGTCAAAATCAATACACTGTGGACAGGCATTCTTAAGCAGACAATCTTATTGTAGTAAAAGCCCCTGTCACCTTGACCTTTGACACAGTCACCCAAAAATCAATAGGGGTCATCTACTATAGTCATAACCAACCTAAATACCAAATATGAAGACTTTTGACCAAAGCAAATTGAGCAGAAAAGCTTTTAAAACTAGTCCCCTATGACTTTACCTTCGACCCAGTGAACTAAATTCAAAAGGGGACACCTAACGGTCATGATCAACCTCCATGCCAAATATGAAGACTGTGGGTCTAAGGATTTTTTAAGTAATTTGGCGAATAAACTTTTTGAAGTCAATCAATAGGTGTCATCTTCTAGTCATAACCAATCACAATACCAAATATTAAGACTGTTGACCAAAGCATTCTAAAGCAATTGAGCAATCAAGCTTTTTGAAATCAAGGTCCCTGTGACCTTTGACCCAGTAAACTGTAAAGCAATAGGGGTCATCTTATGGTCACGGCCGGCATCCACGCCGAATATGAAGACTGTGGGTCAAAGGAATCTTTAATTATTGGGCGGACAAGCTTTTTTAATCAAGGCCCCTGTGATCTTGACCTTTGACCTTAAAATCAATAGGGGTCATTTAAGAATCATGACTGACATCCATGCCAAATATGAAGACTGGATCAAAGGATTATTGAATTACTTGGTGGACAAGGTTTTTTTTTTAGTCAAGGCCCCTGTGACCTTGACCTCAAAAGGGTCATGTACTAATCATGACTAACCTCCATGCCAAATATGGAGACTGTGGGTCAAAGGACTCTTTAAGTTATTGGGCTAAAAAGAAAAACCAACTGACAGCCCAATGGATAAGCTGATTCCAGTATACCCCCTTACAACATGCTTAGTGGTTTATGAGATGTTGTTTAAAGTAAGTTTACCAACAAACGGACAAATTGTGATCACAAAGAGCAGTAACGCCATATTTAAAGAGTAATAAGAGTGAGCAAGTTTACTTATTTATGATATTATTGTAACCAACAGTTACAATGTCTGACAAAACTGAAGATCAGCATTTTTTAAAAAACTTTTTTCCAATACATCTGTTTCTTCCCTGCTGAAAAAAAAGATGACATTGGAGGTGTGATAAATCTGTATAACCAGTTAATTAACCAATAACAGGAATGGCTACTTCTATTTATATCCTTAGCAATGTTTTGTCAGGGTTACAAAAAAACAAAAACAAATAGGCAACAAGGGAAATAACATTAACCAATATATGCAAGTTCTGTATAAATCAAACACTATTGCAAGAACTGTTAAGAATATGTCCCTCTATCACTTGGTCAAGTTCATAATTCAACTTCACTTTTTTTCAACTATTGGAAAACTTTTGCAGGAATGCCACAGGACACAGATACCTGATGAAGTCTTTAAAATAAAACAAATCATTTCAAAATTAAAACTGGGGTGGATTTTAAATTCAACCTTGCAGAACACTCCAGAAATTTGTACTACCTAAAGTGGCCTGACTGACCTTGAGTTTATACAATCTTTCATACAGGAATAAGATAGAGAAAAAAAAAACAATAGCAAGTCCCATATAAATGGAGAAATGTTTATTGCATGTCAATACAATTACGAAACTTAAAACACCAAACTAAGATCTATGAAGCATCTTGTTTCAACACTACAAAAAAGACTAAATATGGGCGAAAAAGAGTAAATGAACTGGAAAATTTGGCAGTCTACCATTAATGTTTGCCTGCTCCTGTTCAGTGACATACCCGGTTATATATTGTAACATATATCTAGTTTATATTGGTAATATAACTTCTAGTACTATATTAAAATACATACTTTGAAAGTCAAAATTAGAAGTCATGAAAAGAACAAAAAAGGTCAATATTTTGTGATAAAAAAAGAAAAAACAAAGATTATATTCCTTCAAAGTGGTTTATGTCCATTAAAGAAAGATAAAAACCTAGACTTTGTACTTTCAAGCTGAACAAAAGCCATGTTTTTTATTCCAGTTCATTACAGAGTATTACAACCATGTCAATTAAAAAGTCTTTTGTTTATATCCGAAATCTTTTCTTGAATAAAATCGCTTGTTTGTTAATATAAATTATATATTTATTATTAAAATCATGTAATATTCTTCACTCTAGCATAATCAAGTCTTATTCCTGAAAATAATATATAAAAAAATCAAACAACAAATAAACAAAAACACCTCATCATAGCAAAATCTTACATCATCTTCTCTCATCCAAAAAACAAAGAACTTGGTATTATGCAAATGCAGAACTGCACAACCCCACCCCCTTTTCTAATTTAACAGACTGAATAATTAATGTAAATTAAATATGCCTGTAGATAATGCCATAAAACAATAACTATTGCTATGAGTCATATTCAGTTATTCTTATGACAAATATTAACTCTCCAAAGTGGAATTTGAAAATATTCTTCATGTGAAATTTTCATATGAACAAAAAAATACAACCCTTAACAATGCAAACATTATTTCCCAACAGGAAAATATTTCTTTTTTACAGTATTTTTTTTCTGTCCGATATAAAAACCTCTTTTCTCACACAGCTAAATTTGACCATAGCAAAGTTATTTCTGTTATATAAATACCAATTTCCTAGTTTTCCACATATCACAAATTAAAGACTAAAAAAATCTTAACATCATTGATTACAAGTTTTTCTTTCAAGACTTAAACAATCTACCAGACGGCAAGAAGATACACTCATATAATCCAGTCATTCACTCTTGGTGGGTGGGGGAATACTATCCAAACACACTACATACACGATACAAGTACTTATTCTTTTATTTTTTCTACATAAAAATTAATATCAACAAGTCAATATGATTTTTTTTTCTGAATAAAACCTTTTTCGGGCCTTTTTTCTCATCAACCAAAGTTTCCTTCTTAAAGAAAAAATTACATCATGCCCGAAGAATGTCCCCTAGCTTTCCTTACTTCACTAATACTTTTTGTAAGCCAAAGGGAACATGTGAAGGATGTAGTTTTGTCTATATATGTTTGAAGAAAAAGAAGGAAAAAAAGACATATAATAATCTATTTTTAAAAAAAAACTCTGCTTATTGAACTGCTATGCAGAGAAATGTCACTGGGAAAAAAACTATGAAAGTTTTTATTTAGCACTTGCCTTCAATCAGATCTGGTAAAGATACCAAACAAAAGTCCCTTAATCAAAAACATTTTAAAATCACTGATAAACAAGGAAGTCACATTTTCAACCTTAAGCTTCTATGTTTTTAATAGAAAAAAAAAGAAGAAACAAAACAACAACAACAAATGAAACCAGAGAAAAACAGTAATAAAAGAAGAAGGGCAATTTTATATAACCTAGCACTCTTTCCCTTTTCATTAGCACATTCTTGCATAATATACTCTAACCTACAGAGAAAAAAAGACAACAAATGAAAAACACTAGACCCCATGCTCACAAATAGCAAAGTATCACATGATCTTGACTTTGTTTGTATATTTTATGAATCTTAAAATTTTACCAATACCCTTTGGAACAATTTCAAAATGATTACACTACTAATACCTTCTGATTTCCAATAACATCTTTCATTTTCAAAAGGTTAGAATTATTTAAAAACCAAATTTTAAGACCACAATCAATAGTTGGATCAACTTTTAAGAAACGCACCTATTGAATATTTTTGCACAGTGATTAGGGAACATCCTTAAATTTCACCCTCCGATACCATTTCAAGTTCACCCTGGAGTTAACTCGGAATGTTTAAACATATAAACATCAATTCAGGAGAAATTTTGAAACTTGTTTTAATCCTGATCCTCGATCCTTTGTGAACACAGGGCCTGTTTCTATTTATCAGAATTAACAGCCAATGAAATCCTCATTTATTCCAAAACATCATCACCTTAACTGTTATACAAAACAATATGGTCATGATCTCCATACAATATGACAATTATAAGCATACATTTTGCTTTACAAAAAAAGTTCGCAATTTTTTATATTTTTGGTATATACGAGGGGTGATCCAGAAATATATTTTTCTTCCCGTATACTCATCAAAGAATTTATTTCTATTTTTTTTGTTACATCTGTACATACATGTTAATATACCTTGTATTGACTAGTTTAGTTACTTATATATTTCATCTTTCTTCCAGTAAACCTAATTTCATGAAATGGACTCTTTTAATCAGAAAAGAAGTGTACTATCTAAGGTAGTTTAAAATATTGACATGCCGACTGCTAACTAATCTTTTCAACCCTGATTTTTGTAAAATGAATTCTTCTATCTAGGCGACTTTATTTTGAAGTAAAAAAAACATATAATGGAAGGATTATATAAAAAGCTATGTTAGATATTCGGCAGAAGGAGCAAATGACTTTCAATGGTAAAACATGGGTTCGAAGCGCATCACAGATTAACATCTTCTTGGTACATTATGGCATGATAAATATTTAAGACGGAACTGTACGGGCCCAACAACATTGAAATTAAGCTATAATTTCACAACAGCTATTTTGATTTGAGAAAAAAAAAAAAGAAAACCACACTTTGATGGCCACATCCGTGCCTTTCCTGTTTTCAGACCTCAATATAATCCCCCAAAAGCAATAATTATCTCCATGCTCGCAGCACTTTGATTTTTCCCTTTAGCTAATTTTGTTTTTCAGAGTTCAAATATGATTTTGCCAATTACAACAACAACAACAACAATAACAACAACACATTGTAATTTGTATGAGATATAATAAGGCTGGTCTAACATTTAATGAACCAGATTAATCCATAACGTGTCTTATTTTCCCTACCTGTAATATGAGAAATGCAAAATCAAAATGTCCATCCTTGATAAATGATGCTGTGTTTTCCATCAGACATTAAAACACTGTATTGTAATTTTATGTTTGCCAAACAAAATTTTCCCTTTTTATGAATATGATTTTTTTTTTGTTTTAAGCTAATATTGTAATACGAAAAATGAAAAAACATCACATGAAAATGTTCCTATTTTGAAAAAAAAATGTTGAATTTAATCAAAAATGAAATCACAAGAGTCAAGAGCAAAAAGTCCAAATTTATATAAGCTTTAAATTTTTAAAGGGTTTTTTCTTTAGATATACATGTTCAATATATATATAATTTTTTTAGGTTTGTTTTTGACGTTTCAAGCATCTAACTAAGCAAACTATATAACTTGTATATATAAAACATTACACAAGACAACTTGACGTGTTATTTGGAGACAAAAAACAAGAACAAACATATAGAAGAAAAAAACATGTCATATCAGTGAAAAACATGGCGGCTTCAAATCACTTAATGAAACACCGAAAATGAGAATTTCAGTACACAAGGGCCATCTTTCTGTATCACTCTACAATAATGGCATCTTTAAAAAATCCTATATTCTTCTAGAAACTTCAACGTCCAGTTCAAATTCATGTTCAACAAAAATGTATTTCTTAAGAAAAAAAAAACTTTGGGGGAAAAAAAAATATTCCAACATTAAAAAGCATAGGCTATTTATGTATTCAAATGTTCAACATCATTATGAAAACTAAATACAAAATTTCAAACTTAAACCATGCCATGAAAAAATATATATATATATTTATATCTGAGCTTTAAAACCATGTAAACATCAATACTGTTTTAGTCTTCCACTGTAATAACACAAACCTGGTATTCACCATGTATATAAAAAAAATACACTGTCTACATGGTGGTTACATTACGCCGTATACAACAAACAAGCCGAAAATATCACCTCAAAATACATTAAACATAACCCTTGTCCACTAAGATTGTTAAGCTTGACAAATGACTTATAGAAATGAAAAGTGTCTCAATAAAACAATGATACTAATAGTAATTCAAGAGTTCACTAGTAATGTTATATAAATAGCGAATGAAGCTATTGTTCTACGTATCAGTTGTTATCATCTTGTTGATCATCATTTCCAGTATCAGATGTCCATAACTGCAACAATAATAAAATAACAATATATATTTTATATTAAATAATACAGGCAAGAGTAGGGTAAGGCTAAGGGTTAAAATTTTCCTTATTATCTTCCTATCATGAACTCGTAAAATGAAAACTAAACTAGCCAAATTTATTTAATCCTTACCATGCAGGCACAAAAAGTGCTAAGCCCTTGACATCAGTATAGCAGTATCAATATTGTCAAAATAAAATTAATTTAATGTTGCTTTCTTATTTCCCCTTTTTCTTGTTATTTCCCTCTGGAATATACATACTGGAAGTACCAGATGTGGTAAAATATGTGCTGAATGATTTTCTTGGATGTATAATAGACTGCTTTCTATTCGACTCAAACCCATACAGAGGTGAGGGGCAAGTGGTTCAAAGTTAGCAATCTTCACACATTTTTATTAACAAATCATTCCCCATGAAGTATGATAGATATTGGAACAAACATAGTCATCATAGGAAAACATCAACAGCCTTCCAAGACTCATGCTAGTATAAAGCATTCAGTCCACAACTGGCGCGACAGAGCTTATCAAGTGAGGTTTAACAAGATATGCCACCTCATTAATACAACACTAAATAGTAGTGTAGGAACAGATTTTTTTTGTTTCTATACAATTGAAGATTGTCATAATGCATAGATCCCTGACCTATCTAATTCTTATTATCAAAGATTAGTGGTTAAATCTATTGTTAATCAGAGTAGGAATATATCAATTCACTTGAGTCTAGTGAATTTGGTGGTGAAGGTCATATTTCACACAGCCTAAATTTCATGACTACATCAAAGGACAACACATTAAGACACTTTGTCAAAATCTAGGTCAGCTGATATCAAAATTCACTTTACATCTTAATCTGTGCATATGGTTCAAATTTCATAGCTGTAGATCAAAGGACAAGAAAGTAGGTCACATCATCAAAATCTAGGTCACCTGATATCAAAGTTCAATTTTACAACTAAAACTGTGCACATGGTCACAATTTCATTGCTGTACATCAAAGGACAAGAAAGTAGGTCACTGTCCCCTTGGGCAAGGCAAAATTTTGACCCAAGGGTTTAATTCAAAACAATCTTGATACAGGTCCACCAAACAACATTTCAAGTCAAATATCTAAGCTGTAGCTTTCTCCCATTCAGAAAACATTTGTTTCATTTTCTGTTTTTACTATGTGTACATAATGAGAATCACGGCCCCCGGACAGGCCCAATTTTGACACCAGGGGAAAAATTTAAACAATTGGTAGAGGACCTATAGATGATATTATATAGCAAACATCAAAGCTTTATGCCTTGTACTTTCAGACAAAAATATTTTTATTTTTTTACTCTATGTACATAATGAAAATCAATGACCCCGAGGCGGAACCAATTTTGACCCCCAGGGCTATAATTTGAACAATCTTGGTAGAGGTTCACTTAGCAAAGTCTCATGCCATATATTTAACCTCTAGCCTTTGTCAATTTATACATATAAGGAAAACTATCGCCTCTGGGGCAGGGCAATTTTAACACTAGGGGCATAATTAAAACAACTTTAGTAGAGGACCCATAGATGATATTATATACGAAATATAAAAGCTCTAAGCCTTGTACCTTAAAACAAGGAGATTTTTTAATTTTTTACATTATGTACATAGTAAAAATCAATGACTCCTGGGGGTGTGGCCAATTTTGACCCCAGGGCTATAATTTGTACAATCTTGCTAGAGGTTCACTACACAATGTTTCATGCAAAATATCTTAACTCTAGCCTTTGTAAATTTAGAGAAGAAGTTTTTACTATATACATATAAGAAAAACTAATGGTAAGGGTCTATATGCATAAAGCTAAGCTCTATGCCTTTTTGGTCTTTACAAGAAGGTTTTTTATGATTTTCTATATGTACATATAGTGAAAATCAATGACCCCCGGGGCGGGCCGATTTTGACCCCAGGGCTATAATTTGAACAATCTTGGTAGAGGTCTATCAGACAATGCCTTATGCAAAATATCTAAGCTCTAGGCCGTTTGGGTCTTTACAAGAAGATTTTTTTAATTTATTCTTATAATTCCTTTTGGTTGCCATGGCAACCAGATTTATGCATGGATGAAATTATTTGAACAACTTTGGAAACCCTTTACCCAAGGATCAATCCTTTTGGTTGAAAGTGGATAAGTGGTTTTTCACAAGAAGATTTTTTAAGTTCACTATATAATCTATAGAACACACACACAAACACACAGGTGGATCGCTATATGCCACCGCATCGCAGATGCTGCGGTGGCATAAAAAGAGGAATGAAAACCGAGCCGTCAAAAGACAACTTTACTATGACTGAGAAAATGAATGTTACCGTCAGATTATCTCTTAGGAGCTGCATTATCAAAGTGCTGTCTTTGTATGAGTCTTCATTTAATGTGTCTAATTCTGCTATCGCATCATCAAATGCCTGAAAATAACAGGATATGTAAACTGTATGAAAGTTACCTAGTAGCCAATCTAATATCAACAAGTGTTAGGTTAACAATATAAACAATCATGGCCTGGGAATTTTAAGCAAAATTCAAACAAACTTACACTCACCGACAAGGACCAACAAAATCTGATTTTGATTTACTTGTTTGTTTTTGTCCAAAATATTTTCTCAAATTGTCCATATGGTATTTGTATTGTATATTCTTGAAAATTTCAACTTGTTTGTACAGGTTGCGGGCAACCTTGGCAATACGGACAACTGACTTTGCCACCCCTGCTGACAGTTAAGGTCATATCATAATTTCTGGCACAAACAAGAAACCATTGACCTATCACAAGATACTGATAGATAACTTCTGGGTACCATTATACGATGCAACCTTTATTGAGCAATTTATCATTGAAATTGTAGTCAACTAGCATCAACATGAAAGATAATGAAAAAATTTGATCAACATGAAACAACTGAATGGGAAATTTTTGTCTTTGACATAACTCCTACAATTGATTTCAAACAGATATTGCCATCTTCTGTGTCTTCCAAAAAGGTTCTTCAGATCAAATGATCATTTACACATTCTCTCTCTTTGTTTTTGGGACAGAGTACGTAACATACATGTACCAAAATTTTTCACACTGTTTTCCATTTTAGTGAGAATTTCATTTTTTGCTGAACATAAATACAAAAGTTAAACTATTGTAGTGACAATAATCATGTTGTGAAGTATAACATAATCTATTTTACAACTAGAACTATCACTAAATGTGATTAATACCCCCACAAGACTGCTTCGGAAATGAGGATGTTACTAGTAACAGAATACCTTGTAAAAGAATTGAAATATAGAGTTATGGTTGTGAGCAATTAAAGATAGTTGTGGTTCTTGTATGTTGCATTTCCTTTCAATGTGGTTGGCCATTGATGAAGTTTTATTGAATTACTCTGTATTAAGTCCAGAAAGACAAGGAAAAGGAACAAAGAGCAATTACTCTATAAATACTGAAGATGGAGTTAAAGTTCTTGTGCACTGCACTTCCTCTTATTGTGCTTGACCATTGTATGAAGTTGTTTTGAATTAGTCAAGATGGAGTTATGGTTCTTGTGCACTGCACTTCCCCTTATTGTGCTTGACCATTGTATGAAGTTGTTTTGAATTCCAACCCATAGTTTTCAAGTAATGCTCTGGACAAGGAAAAGTAACAAAGGGCAGTAACTATGTAATAAGTCAAGATGGAGTTATTGTTCTTGTGCACTGCACTTCCTCTTAATTTGCTTGACCATTGTATTAAGTTATAATGAATTCCAACAATTAGTCTTCAAGTTATGGTCCGGACAAAAGACAGCAATGGAAAAGTAACAAAGGGCAATAACTCTCTAATTACTTTAGATAGAGTTATGGTTCTTGTGCACTGCACTTCCCCTTATTGTGTTTGACAATTGTATGAAGTTGTTTTGAATTCCAACCAGTAGTTTTTAAGTTATGCCCCGGACAAGGAAAAGTAACAAAGGGCAATGACTCTGTAATTAGTCAAGATAGAGTTATGGTTCTTGTGCACTGCACTTCCTCTCAATGTGTTTGACCATTGTATGTAGTTATATTGAATTCCAACCATTAGTCTTCAAGTTATGCTCCGGACAAGGAAAATGCAACGGACATCTGGACCGACCAACCAACGGGTGACTCCTATATACCCCCCAAACTTCGTTTTTGGGGGTATAAAAAGCAAATTTCAATGTGCCCCAAATTTTGTGAATTGAGGACCCTGCTTTCATTATCAAACTTACCTGTTTGGCCAGCTCGCAAGCATCAGGCGGTGAGTTCTTAATTTCATAGTGAAATACGGAGTAGTTTAAAGCCAAGCCAAGACGTATTGGATGAGTTGGCTGCATTTTTTCTTTTGCACATTCCATTGCAGCTTGATAAGCATCTCTAGATTGATCTACCACAGCTGTAAAGACAAAGACACATTTGTTAACCAATATGGTTTATTTTCTGCATTAGGAGAGAGAGGGGGCATATCCAGAGAGTGTCATTATGTTTGCAGGCATTTTTTTCCTTTATATACTAGTTAAAACCAGTAAATGTAGGCATTCTAAATCAGTAAATATCAATACTTTACATTTCTTTCCCAACTGCGAAGAATACAATTCCAAATCATCAGTCTACATTACTGGTGAATGAGTTGTCAATTTTCATTAAGAGGGAAAACAGCTTGAAATTCCTTACATAATATTTCCACAAAATTTATGTGTCAACCATATTTTAAATGACAATTCAATTTTTAATAATAAATTTTTACTACAGTCTCCATATTAAACTATTCATGACATTCAGAGCATTTTTTATCTGGCGACTTACAGATAGGAGGTGTTTTAATATTGTCTAAATATGTCAGCTAAGGGTTATTCAATTGTCCCTGGTTGACATTACATTATTATTTTTCATCAATGCCTTTGAAGTTATGTAACCATATAAAGAGATTTGCTACATCAGCATAAAATTTGAAATCTAGTTATGTTCTCCTCATATACACCAGGTTGTTTTACAATATATCATTCGTAACTCTTAGTTATTGCAATAGAATTGGCCATAAAGGCCCTGTATAAATCTGAATAATAAATACAATAAACCCAGCTTACTAGCTCTATTTGCATCTGTGCTGACTTCAGCTAGGTACCGGTAATAATCTCCCTTCATTTTCAAGTAGAAAACCTTACTTTCATCAGTGTTGGCTTTTGGTATTAGAGGATTTTCAAGTAATTCCTGAAATTATAATAACAATAGCAACATGTTAACACAAGCTACATTTATCTTTTCCTTTTCTGCTTTTCTGTATTATTTGCACTGACAATTATTCACATAATGTAAAAATCATTTCAAGTTTTCCTAATCCTATTGGGTGGAATGGCTTCTTGTGCACCATTTTATAAAACCTTTATTCAAGAAGCAAGCTGGCATTTGATGTTCATTTGAATTTTCACTAACAACTTTTATAAGCAGCACCAAAGTTTTTTTATTTTTACTAACTCAAATGGGATTTAAATCCATAACAGTAACAAGAAACCATAACAATAACATGCAAGTGATCCACCACCACAGGGGGAGCAAAATCAATTGTCTGTTTTGCCCAGGTTTTCAAATATACTACATATATAGATGTTATGCGGACAAGTTAAGAAATGCTTCAGTGAAAAACAGACTAGTAAGTCTAAATCAAATGTTGCTGACCCTGGCAATTGAGGTAGAGGCAATATAGAATTAACAACAAAATTACTTTTTTGTAAATTTATAATATAAGTGCATTTATAACATTAACAGGGGAATGCGGTGCATAATGCACAGATAGCAAAACAACATGGTTTTTGCTTTAACAAGACTAGTGAATTCTCTGATACAGACATATGGCATAAATGTGCAGATTTTGCTATATTGTATTGACTGATAGGTTAAATCCTCTGGGACACAAGTATTGATTCAAAAACACTGCACATAAACATGCTTTTGTTCAGAAGTTCATAGTAACAGAGCTTCTTATTCTAGTTTTGCTTTCAATATGTGGACAGGAAACGTACCACTTGAAACAATAACTTCCCTGATATATAACAACTAGTATTATTTACAGATTCACAGGCTTAATAATTCATGTATCATTAAAAACATGATAATTCTTTGACACAGTGCGTTTACTTGCTTTTTTTTAAACAGCAAATCTTACCATACTATTCAGTATTTACTATTTTCTATTATCTATTTTTTTTACAAAAATCATTTTTCACTAACCTATAGTATAATTACGTTGTAACATCAATATCATAACAGGCTACGACAAAAGTTAAAACAGATGTTTACAAATCAAAATCTATCAAAAGAAACTCAAATGTTAACAAATCAAAAACCAACACAAAATCTGTCAGTATCAAATCTGCCTGTCCTGTTCCCTACTAATTCTGGGAAGTTCTAGAAAATTGAGCAAAGTTGCAAAATGTGCCGTTTTGGTTTACAAGTTTTGATCACACTATAAAAATTACATTATTAACAGAACAGTATGCTCCACTTTCCTCAGAGCTGGAATAATAGTATCATAAAAGCTGAGCAAAAAGCAGGCATAATGTGGTAAAAGCGCTTTCCACCTCACCCTGATAGTAACTAAGTATTTAAAATTTGAAGAGAATATATGTGATAGTTTTTTGAGAAATTTAGATAAAATATAAAAAGACTTTCAGGGGATTATATATGTCCTTGGTATCACATTGTTACATTGAACAAGTATACCAAGTTTGAAGTTAATAGATTTGTTATTTCTGAGAAAATGAATATTTTTACATTTATTTACTTACAGCTACTCAAGATCCCCTAGACCTCTAGACCAGAAAATGGACATGGCAGTAAGAACTCATCAAGGTGCATCTACATATCAAGTTTCAATGTAAAAACATTCTTTCAATTTTGTTCACAATAAACCACAACTGATGCCAACATCACCGCTGAGTGGTGTCATGACAAATGTTCCAATTTTTCTTTGAAAACAGAGCTATAAATTAATTGAAGGTTTATCTGCGTTTTTTGAATTTCATCACAATTTTGACAGCAGAAATGTAGATAGGAAGTAATGTATTTATCTATTAAGGGCCCATTCATAATGCCAAAAAGTATCTTTTATCCACAACTGTTCAAAATTCATGAAGTTCTTTCAAACTGAAGTTATTGACAAAATTGTCAATGACTTATAAACACGAGAAACAGGCACATCTAAATATGGGATTTTATCAATAATTATTAAGGCCCTACTCACATGATTTCAAATATATTCCCCATTTAAAAGATAAAACTTTGTTAACAATAACAGTATAGAGGTATTTGTATCATTGTTTGGGGACCTTTCTGTTTAAATGTGTCAGAGTTAAATCACATACACATACATTCAGTGTGTTAACTGGAGTGCAGGTATTACATGTAGGTTACCTGCACTCCACCACATGCTCATTGATTGGCTTCTTTTTCCTTGGGTTTACTTATTGTGATGGCAGAGAAAGGGAAAGCGATAGCAATATCATATTCAGATGCTCGTTCGTTGGTTTCTTTTTTTTTCACGAGTTTCATATTGCGACAACAGAGAACTTGTTTTAATGTTTGACTATGATACAAAAGAGAAAGAGCTTCAAAACACAAGGCAATCTGATTAATACTCGGGGCTACAACCCCTCGTACAAATCAGATAGCCTCGTGTTTTGATGCTCTTTCTATTACATAAATATAAAAATGTTCACATTTAATGGCATTATGGAACTAGTTTCAAAATTCAAATGGTCCCAGACCAGGGTTCTCACTAGGACTTTAAAACATGGAGTCCATGGACTCCCAACCCTGAAAAAGTTGGAGTCCAAAAGCGCATCGCAATTAATATGTTTACAGATTAGTCATTCAATACTCACAATAGCATTGCTGATATTTTGAATCTTCAAGAGACTTCCAAAGTTTATAGTTATTCAAAAGAAACTCTGAACTACATAGTATAATTATTGTTTTGTTGTTAATATTTATTATGAAATTATTTCATTATAATGCATCTACACATGGAAATCGTCTTTTTTTTCACTTTTATACCAAATCAAATTTTATTCTGGTTAAATAAGTCCACTCTAAAGACAAAAAGTTTGTATTTGTAAAAGAAAAACGTAAATGTATATAGGCAGCGTTTAGCGGAATGAATAGGAAAATCGTGTACAGCTTCACACAGTGTGTAAGAGATTCATCTGATCGACAATTATTTTAGCAAATATCTTCAAAAGGGGGCAAATTGAAGATTGATTTTTAAAGATTTAATGTTTATTAAATAATAAAGGAACAATTCATTCGCATGTTTGGCATGGAAACCGAGAATTTTTGCGAAATTTTAGGGTTTCTGGCGAACGTGAAATCGCCAATGTTTGGATCAATTTTCGGATAGAATCTAAATATCAAAGAAAAGCGTATGCGTACCTGGCATTTCGGCACAATATCTTAAATTCTTAATACCCTTATAGAACGATTTTGCAAGAATGAAACTAAAGCAAAATTGTGCCTAGAAAATGCCAAAAATAATCGACAATCATTATTATGCGAACATATTCGACAATCATTCAAATTACACTCATTTGTAATTGAGAAAACAGTCTTTAAACTTGCGGCGTAAATAGTCGGTAATTTTTTCCTTTTGTCGGTAAAATTTGCTAATTTCCAATCAACTGTTGATCTATCACCTTGTGTTATATCTGAATTACATGAACTGTACAGCGCGTGTATACATTTAATTAGTCTGATCACTATAGCGTGATAATGATCGGAAGCGTTATCGCTGATTGGCTAATCGCTTCATGGGTTGATGTGCATAGGACCGCCTACCTATAGACTGACACGCGCTAACGCATTTGTGTATTTCTGGTTGTAAACAATCGGTAATGTTTATGCGTCCCCAGGCAAAATTAAGCGTACGTGGAATCCTTGCTCTGAAATATTTGCGTCCAGCTGTAATAAACATGCGTACCGGGACGCCGAAATAAGCGTCCCCGAGAACCCTGTCCCAGACCCTTTCACAAAAGACCACTTGTAAAGTTGTATGATAGATAGGTCCCCAAACAACATGTATGATGTAACTTGTATCATACATGTAGTTTGGGGACCTTTCTGTTGAAAATGTGCCAGAGTTAAATCGTATAGATATATACATGCACAGTGTGTTAACTGGAGTGCAGGTATTAGTTACCCACACACCAGAGTATACCAATTGATTGGCTCAGTTTTTCTAAGGTTTACTTATTGTGATGGCAGAGAAAGGGATAGCGATAGAAGAACCATATTGAGATCCTTGTTCATTGGTTACTATTTTTCTGGGGTTTCATATTTCAACAACAGGGAAGGTGTTTTTTTTTGCCTATGCTATGCCCCATCAGACATACTAATCAAGATAGTCTTGTGTCTTGATGCTCTTCCTCTCACAATTCACATGTTCATTTTAATAAATTTGTGAGCAAAGAGTTGTCCCTGTTTGGAAATACACCCAGACGAGTCATATACCTTGAATAAATTATACGTAGTAAACTAATATTGGGTATTTGTTTTGTTACTTGTTGGTAATGATTCATGGGAGATTATTTTAGTTTTTCTCTTCATAACTGACAAGACAAATGAGCAAAAAAAATAAAAATAAAAAGTTATACAACACTAGACACATTTAGGAGATGTAATAATAAGATGGGATTTGTGATAGCCCCCCCCCCCGGAAGAAAGCCCCCCCCATCTAAAAATGACAAGGTGGACAAAAGCCCCCTCCCCCATGAAATTTACACATAGGACAAAAGCCCCCCCCATTAAAAATACAGGTAGGACAAAAGCCCCCCCAGTCCATGAAACAGTGTTATTGAGAATCTCGTCAGTTTAATTCCAGAACTTGATGTATTGAGACAAGTCAAATGCAATTGTTTTAAAAGATAATTTACATTAAGATTAAAATTTATAGGTACAAAAGTTCTAATTTGATTTATTGTGTAATTCGTATATAATTCATTGATGATATGAATGTGGAAGTGGAAGGCGCATACTTTTTTAGATTAATTTGAAGTATAACCAAAGTTCCCTAACACTGGGCGTGTGATAAATTCATAAAAGATAGTTATCAGTCTGGTCTATAAACCTTAGGGGGGGCTTTTGTTTGCTGTACTGGGGGGGGGGCTTTTGTCCTACCTGTATTTTTGATGGGGGGGGGGGGGCTTTTGTCCTATGTGTAAATTTCATGGGGGAGGGGGGCTTTTGTCCACCTTGTCATAGTGCAAGTCCTGTCCCTACTCCCTACCCATACTGGTATTACATGGATAACAAAATGGATATCTAAAGCAGAAGATTATACACGAGTCTCATTCTGAATCTGTAGTATATTACTAAAATATCAACAGCAACACAGGGGTCTATTCCAGGAAACTGCATAGAGGGTGGATTATGGCATCAAGAGTTTTGACAATTGTCATTCTTAAAAGTTTAGATGAGCCAAATTATGGTAAAAAGAAAACCCTACAGTTGAAAGACCTGTAAGAAATACATAAATGATGAAAAAAAACTACTAAGTAAACTGTATATAAATGAGGTTTATTCTTGTGGCCTTGAAAGATTTTAGGATGAATGATGAAGCAAGAGGCTGAATTGGAGAACGAACTTGACCCACTTACCAAAACTTCTTTACAAATTTCTTCTAATTCTTTCTCTATTTTCTGTCTGTATTCTTTTGCCATTAAAGTCTTCTTATCTCCATCTGCACTTTTGGATTCTATACTCGAAATAACTCTCCAAGACGAGCGACGAGCACCAACAACATTTTTGTAAGCGACTGATAGTAAATTTCTCTCCTCGTTTGACAGTTCGTCTCCCAACATCACTCGCGATTTCATGGTTGCAGCCATATCATCATAACGCTCTGCCTGTTCACTGAGCTTTGCCTTTTTCACGCAAATTTCCGCCGTAGTCATTTTGAAACCCTTGGAAAGTTTTGTGATATCACGTTTTGGACGTCGTTTCTTTCCAAGATGGCGATGTTACGGACGAAGTACCTGCCAAATATATCCAGCCGCAGATGACTAATACATATGTAACAATCATACAATCTTTTCATATAATTGTCATCTGAAACCTTTCTTTCTACTGAAGTTTACTTTAAATGACAGTGAAAAATAGTTTATAATGTCTCAAAGAACAAATAATATTATATTACTCACGGGACTATTTTCTTCTATGAAAAATAGTGCAGACAGAGTTATCCGCTCTTTATGGAGGCGTTCCCCAAATTCCCGGGGAAGACCGTGACGTCACTGTAGGTATGGAAACGGAATTCATTTAATCTATAATTTATTATTTCATTTGATGTACATATATTTTTGTTCTGTACGACAATACAATGTATCTTTCACACTGATGTAAAAGGAAAATGCGTGAAATTTCAGATAGCAAACAGGGAAGGACAGTAAAATTTTACGGGTCCGTGCCGGTTTTTTTACGGCTCCATAAAAACGGTATTGCAGGGCCGTGCATATTAAATATATTTTGACGCGACATCATTTGCATTATACAAACATAGCGTAAAGACGCCCTAAAAGCGTAAAGATGTCCTGAATGTTAGCGTTACACCACATTCTAGCACGGTTACACTAGATTCTATTCCCAAATCAAACAGATAGGGCAATCAACTGTCTTATATATAAATATATATAATTATTTTATCGCATACCTGTGCCGATTTTGTGACTCAGTAAATATGGTAGTGCACGGACGTGCATAATCAAATTTTGACGTGACGTTATTTAAGTTATACAAACGTAGCGTAAAGACGCGCTACATGTTAGCGTTACACTATAGGCGCGTCAATGGAAAATGATTCTTTTGCAATTTAAACGTCCAAAGCCAGACTCTTTGCTGACGACTGTGTGGTATACCGGGAAATCAACACTGAAGAGGACTGCCACGTTTTGCAGGATGACCTGAAGAAGTTGGCATTGTGGGAGAAGCGCTGGGGCATGAGTTTCCACCCAGAGAAATGCAGCATAATCAGGGTCCACAGGAAGAGGAACCCCATCATATACCCGTACTCCTTGAAGGGCCACACACTCGAGATAGACTCGATAACCAAGTACCTCGGAGTCCATATGTCTGGAAACCTCTCCTGGAATCAACATTTTGACAAGATCGTAAAGAAGGGCAACGGTACACTCGGCTTCCTTCGACGCAACCTGCGCATCAGCAATGAACAGGTCAAGAGCACAGCCTACATGTCACTTGTGCGACCAGGCCTTGAATATTGCTCCACCGTCTGGAACCCTTATACCAAGGACCTTACACGCAAGCTCGAGATGGTCCAGAGGAGAGCTGCAAGATATGTGACGAACCGTTACCACAACACAAGCAGCGTATCCTCAATGATCCAACACTTGGAGTGGGACACATTAGAGTCACGACGGACCAAAGCCCAGCTGACCATGATGTTCAAGATCACCAATGACCTGGTGGAAATACCAGTCAGCGATTATCTCACCCCTGCCCCGAGCCGCACTAGAAGTGACCACTCCAAGAAGTTCCATCTACCATCAACATCTACATCGTACTACAAGAACTCCTTCTTCCCTCGTACAGCCACAATATGGAACAGCTTACCTGCCTCCGTTGCAGAGGCCCCTGACTTGGTATCCTTCAAGCAGGGGCTATCAGCCCTCACATTCTAATTCGCCTTATGGGCCCAGCTACAAGTACCCACTAGTGATATCCAAGGCTGTGCCGGCAGCGGCCACCGTAACCGGAGAGGTTTGGGTTGAAGAGGCGAAATATAGCTGGCCATACTTTTTGTCTATATCTCTACCTTTGTACTATCCAACCTCTTCTAACTTTCTATCATTTCTTGTATATTTCTTTTCTTGACCTAGCACCACCCGTCGCGTCATAATCAAGTGTGATTGCGCCGACGTACAATGTAGATGTAGAAACAGTCTTTATTTTGGATATGTGATAGATCTAAATAGAATATTATATATTCGTGTAGGTTTATTACTGAATTTATTGAACTCGTTGAATAAAATAATATTTTGCTCGCCAGAGGCTCGCATGATAGAAATGAAAGTTTTTGTTCAATTTAAGTGACCCATCCATCCAGTCATCCATCTTAAGATTTGATCAAAAATTAAGTCATAAGTAGTTATTAACGGTTAAAACCAAAAATGTTGCTTTAGATTATGAACGAGATGCGGTTGTTGCAGATTGTGTATTACCTGTATATAACATTGTTTCAACAATTTTTTACATAATACAGTTGTGTTATATTTTAAAAGGTGTCAAAAATGTTTTACTTACACAAGGCAAATTTTAATTACGAAAAAGGGGGAGTCACGTCTCTTTGGACATATTTCTTGTAAAACTTGTACTTATGGTGGAATGGATGTTGAAGGGGTCACAACTTCTATTTAAAATTTGAGGTTTAAAATGATGTTATTTCCTTGACTTTGTTATGATTTTATGTTAGCTTTCAGTAGATAATTATCCATGCACAAGAGATAACTTTCAACCCTTCACATTAAGGGAAACGTTTTTGTTGCGTTTGTTTAAAGTTTGCATATTTCCTAAATTTCATATCATTGGTATACACGTATACTTACTTAGCAAATTCCTCAATGAAAACACAAGCTTAAAAAAATATTCATTTATGAATTTATAAATATCATTTCAATTTACTGTATTATTTAAATTTTAAACAGTTTGTTTTATGAATGATATTTGTAATTAATTGTATACATGCATGCGTCTGAAATATTGATCAACTCTTTTAATGAACTATAAAAGCCACATACAGTATTTATCTTTCACCTTTTTTCATTTGCATTTTGTACACTTCTTGCATGTATCAAGGCCGTGCATGAATGTTATAATGATCTAGTTAACGTATTTCAATATTGATTTATTAAAGATATACTATGCTCATCTTTGAGTAAGATAATTTAACCGCACAAATTCATTAAATCCATGCAATTCTTACTGAACAAGTCTAATTTGAATAAATGAATGTACAAGCTATATATGGGAAGCTGCATTCCACATATTACAGGTCATGTAAAGTTGATCCTTCTTCATACTGTGGATTCATATAAATATCATCTAAAACGTGTCTTTCTACTGAAGTTAACTTTTAATGACAGTATATATTCAATTATTCATGAATATGCTGCCTCCTATATATAGTGTGTAGAGTTTTAAAACATAGCATATAAATTTACTACAATATGTGTGAAGTTGTAACCTGTTGTTTTATAAACTTACAAAGAGAGCAATTTTCACATTTTTCAATTATCGAATTTTAGCATAGTATATCTTTATTGATCCCGCAATGAACGTGTAAAAAGTGCCCATCGAAAGAAACAAAATGACATAATTAATATTATTTTTTTTCTTTTTAAAAATTACAAATTTCTTTTTCGCGAAAAGAATCATTCTCGCGTAATAACAAAGCTACATTTAGTTAACTTCCTGTTCCGCCGGAACCACATGTAAATCTACCAGAAAATAAACAACATTTGAAGAACGCATTAAAAATGCCAAAATCTAAACGAGATAAGCGTGGTATGTTATTTTATCGTATCAGAACATGAATCATATGTTTAATAAATGTTTAGACTGTGAATTATTGCTGCTGTTTAAAGCTTTAAAATAAATGCTTCTGTCATCAGGATAATTCGGCCCCGAGTCATCTCGCCTTCTCGGCCTTCTTCTTCTTCTTCTTCCAATATAGTACAGACACCTTCCGGCGTATACTCGTACTAGCGCAGCGCGGTGTGAGAAGTGTCTATGTACAAGAGTGATTTAAAAAAGTACTATGTATAGTGCTGGTAAAAAGGTAAAAACACCGGACTGTCTATCGGAGAGTGAGTGGGAGTACTTCCCTCTTGAAGCTGTCTATGGTTGTACAGCTTACAACTGTCTGGGGAAGACTGTTCCAGAGGCGGATGGTGTCTGGGAAGAAGGATCGCTGGTAGCACTGGGTCCTTGCAAATGGTACCAGGTAGTGAAGTCCATGTCCTCGAACAGAGATGACTGGGGTGAGGTTGGATGTAGGGACTTCTACTAGGCCATTTACTATACGGTACATCATGGTCACCTTGGCATGGGCTCTGCGTTCTCGGAGGGTAGGCCACTGTAGGTGTTGCAGCATCGATGTCACACTGCTGGTTCTTCTGTAGTCTGAGAAGACCATTCTTGCTGCTCGGCGCTGCACCATCTCCAGTTTCCAAATATTTGCCTCAGTGAAAGGGTCCCAGATGATAGAGGAGTATTCCACCAGAGGTCTCACGAGGGTCATATAGCAGAGCTCTTTGGTCCTTCTTGGGCATTGATTTATGTTTCTCTGTAGAAAGGATGTGACATTGTTGGCTTTCTTTGTAGTTAGATCAATGTGATGGTTCCAGTTTAGTGACTTTTGGAAGTTGAGGCCTAAATATTTTGCTGTATCTACTTCTTCTAAGATGTGTCCATGGATGTTATATGGTTGTCTGATTGGTTTTCTCTTGTTTGTTATGTGGAGTATCTGGCATTTTTGAGGGTGGAATTCCATCAACCAATCCCTTTCCCATCTTTGTAGTCCATCTAGGTCTTTTTGTAGGGCTATAGCATCTTGGTCTGAGTGGATAGAGCGGTAAAGGGCACAGTCGTCAGCAAACATTCTAGTGGTTGATTCAGGTGATACATAGTTGGGTAGATCATTAATGAAGATGAGAAATAAGAGAGGTCCTAGAACACTGCCTTGTGGGACACCTGACTGGACAGGTGCTTCACCTGATTTGCTGCCGTCTAGTAACACTCTCTGGCTCCGATCCCCTTGGAAGCTGTTTATCCACTTTAGTAGGTTGTTTCGTATACCATAGAATTGAAGTTTTGTAAGTAATCGGTGGTGTGGGACCTTGTCGAAAGCTTTGGAAAAATCTAATAAAATGACATCAGTCTGACCAGCAGAGTCCATATTGCAAGCAAGGTCCTGGACTGTCAGTAAAAGTTGAGTCTCACAGGATCTGCGTTTACGAAATCCATGCTGGGCATCTGTAAGTATGTTGTAGGTGTCAAGGTGTTTCATAATGGTGCTTGTAACGATGTGCTCAAGTGCCTTACATGCTATGGAAGTAAGAGAGACAGGTCTGTAGTTCTCTGCTTTACTGCGGTCGCCCTTCTTGAAAATTGGTACCACGTTGGCAGTTTTCCAGTCGTCAGGGATGATTCCTTGGTCCACAGATGCCTGGAAGAACAGGGTAAATACAGGAGTAAGTTCTGTAGCTGCTTCCTTTAGAAGTCTTGATGGGAGTTGATCTGGACCTGTAGCCTTGTGTGGATTAAGTCCTGCAAAGATCTTCTGTACTCCGCTCTCTGTGATTGTAATATGTTCAACCGGATCATGTGGGCTTGGTCCCATATCAGGAATAGTTGAGGTGTCTTCATCCTTGTTGAAAACTGAAGAGAACTGCTCATTCAGGATATTGGCCTTTGTGTCGCTGTCGGAGTGAGTCATGCCCGTTTTTGCTTTCAGTGGTGCTACTCCCTGACTATCTGTTTTCTTGCTTTTAATGAAACTGTAGAACCTTTTGGGATTAGAGGCAGATTCTGGACTGACAATATTGTTGACATACTCATTGTAGGCTTCTTGACATGCCAGTTTAGATTTTTTCTTGAGATCTTCATATCGTTTTATGTTTTTATGAGACTTGGTTGATTTTGCACGGGCATATGCTCTCTTTTTCCTTCGACTCAACTGTTTGATGTCTTTGTTTATCCATGGCTGGCTAAATCTAGAGCTGCTCATCTTGGATGGCACACAGGAGTCCAGGACTTTCAGGAGATTGTCTTTTATGGCTGCCCACATAGTGTTGATATGGCTTATTGTTGTGTAAGTTTCTTTAAAGTGTTGTTGAAATTGGTGACATTTGCTTTTCAGTTGGTCTATATCTGCATTTTTCCATAGATGTATAAGTCTTTTGACTGGTTTTGATCTTTTAGCCGATGCACTGGATTCAATGAAGACTATGTCATGGTCACCTAGTCCTGGCAGAGTTGTACTGCGCGTTGTAAGAGTAGGACGATTTGTGAGGAAAACATCCAGAATGTTGTCTTTTCTTGTTGGCTGAGTGACCATCTGGTGAAGATTGCAGGATTCAACAACTTCAAGGATCTTTTTGTTGATCCTGTTGGAATTCTGGTTACCTTCTACTGTGTTGATGGTCCAGTTGATGTCAGGTAGGTTTAGGTCTCCACCTATCCATATTACTGCATTTTTGTAACGATTCTTGATGTTTTCTATTGTGGAACATAGTTCTTCAGTATATGTTTCGTCACTGTTTGGTGGTCTGTAGATGGAACCAATGATAAGAGTTTTGTTTTTATCGAGAGTGACTTTAGCAAACACTTGCTCTGTGTTTGGTCCTGTGTCCAGCTTTTCATAGATAAGGTCGTTCTTCAAACCAAGAAGGACACCGCCGTACCCATCTTTCCTGTCTTTTCTGAGAATGTCATAGTTTGGTGGGAATATTTCAGAAGAGTGAATGTTAGGATTCATCCAAGTTTCAGATCCCATGATGATACTGGGGTCAGCAGACTCTAAGAGATTGCAGATTTCAGCTTTCTTGTTCTTGCAGCTTTGGAAGTTGATGACCAGTGTTCTCAAACTGCGAAATGACGGGGTTGATTTTTTCTTGTGTGAAGTTTTAGGAGAAGAACTGGAGATAGGGGGGCCAGGACTTGAAGAGCATGTAGTGGTTGATGAGTCAAGTGCATTGAAAGAGTTGCTAGTTGTATTAGTAATAAATGATTCAAATAAACTTGTAGAGAAATTCGGCATGCCACAGTTATCACAGTGCCATGAAATATTACTGTGGTTGCATAAGGTGTTATAGATAATTGAGTTCATGTGCATACACTGGGCATGGTACCACTGTTGACAGTCGTCGCAGGCTACGCCCTTTTGTTTCCATGTGACAGCCTTATTGCAAATCTGGCAGGGGTACTTCGGTTGACGGGGTCCTGGGTTGAGCTCAACATCAGACGAAGTAGCTATCAGCAGCAATGATATGTAGAGAAGGGTATGCATTTTCCCTCTGCGTATGCATGGATATAGTGACAGCGAGCTAAGGTGTCTGGTTACAATAAAGTATTGCACATCCTTTGTTTGGTAATTTATATATTTGAAAAAGTTTGTTGATCGTAATGATCTGGGCTGGTATACATCTGGGGAGGAGAAGTTGATGCATGAGGAAACAATAGCTAATAAGGTAAGTAGATAACAGGTGCCGTGTGCGAAATCCATTTCTACAGTTTTGTTTACATTCTCATCCGTCGCCGCCACCGGAAGTCACCGGTAGATCGTTGAAAAAGTGTCAGGAGTGGTCTTTCGGACGAAGTAGGCAATCAGGTTTGGTTCAGGTTGAAGGATTAGGATATTCTTACCATACACACCAAGAAAGTTCAGCTAAATTACTAAATGAATGATGAAAACAATTAATTTTATATTAATTTATATATATTTCTTTAGTGAACGTATTATACATATACACAGGGTTCTAATCCAGGAGGATGTCAAATTTTGCAGGCCAGGGCTTTGGCTTGCTGGGCTATAGACTAGATGTGTATAGCAGTGTTGCATCTAGAATTTCAAAATTATGGGGGATTGTCCCCCACTCAACTGAAAAATGTGGGGGATTTGAAAAAAATGTGGGGAACATACATTTACCTTACAATATGACGTACCGAAAAGAATTCATTTATTTTACGTTCATGCATTTTTGACAGCTATCGTCCGCTTAAAAACGGAAGTAGAAAGAATAAAATATTGATTATACTCAACATCACTAATTCCGCGTCATCATTTATCTCACGGTAATGGCATATTTTCATGTGACCAGTGTTATTATTGGTCAGAATTGACATGTTTTATTCAAACACCTTAACAACAAAGGTTTTGTGCAAAATAATTTAAATCTATAGAATTTTACGTAAAACTGAACAACATTTTACAAACTTCTGCAAAAAACAACAATAGTCCATTAAAATTGTGCATACGTCTGAAACAATCATCATTTTTTATATGTTCTTGTTTGTTGAAAAAATAAATTTTGAGTTACAATGTAAAAATACTTTTAATATTTAAAATTATGCAAAACAACTTGAAGAAATTTTAACTGAAACATGAAAAAACTGAAATAAAACACCATTACCGCGAGGTAAATGATGACATACTGTTTTCAAAATGGCCGACACACTGTTTACATCTGACAAATTAAAACTAATTTTGATTGAATATATTGTTGTTTCCTTGTGTCATATAGCAGAAAAATGACTAAATGATACAGTTTATGACAGTTTTTGTAGTGTAAGTTTATTGTTTGTGTTCTTTACTGTTTTAAAGTGTTAAGTACCGTGAACTAAGAGGAGCACAGTATAATACTACAAAATACTAGCGAGATGACCCAGTTGGCTGCTACACGAGACGTAGTACATATTTTAGTCATAACCACGAGTGAAAACAAACATGGCAGAAGCGTTCAAGATACAATGAAGATATATTGAATTAAGTTGAAAAGATCGTCAGATGCAGGACTTTGCGCGCATTGACTTCATTAAAATGCGCGATCTGCATAAAAAATGCGCAAATCGCGCGGCCTAGATGCAACACTGGTATAGTTATTAAGAAAACAATTCAAAAATATGTATATTTCATTACCTATCAGTGAAATTTTTAGTGTCATTTCAAGTTGGGCACCATCATTTTAAATGTAAATCAATAATCTACAGGGTTATCCAACAACAGAACAATTGCAACCTTTCGGCTTAAGAATAGCAGTCGATGTGTTCCAAGTGAAAACAAAACGTCAAAACCCGTGCATAAAATACCAAATGACACCATTAAAAAGAAAAAATAGAAAATGAAGGAAAGTTTTTTTAATTGACTTTCCCGTTCAAAGGCTAGCCGTACGTACCTCAGTCAAATATTTTGGACATGCCAAAGCTAGATTCTGAGATATTTTTGTTCTGGGTCTGAATCTCACGTCTGGAGGGGAGATATTTCCCTTACATATGATTGCACATAATCTCAATGCACAGTACAATTGGTTGGACTATTTGGGCCCATACTAAGCGCAAGCCAAAAGTTTTAGCTGTTTGGGAGTCTGATCTTCAGATTTATTGCATTTTTTTTATGTGTATTTTCTATAACATGAACCTTTATTTTCAGTTTCGCTGACGCAGACCAGGAAAAAAGGATTGGAGCTGAAACAAAAGCTTATTGAGGATGTAAGTTATGTTGAAAGTTATGAATATTATTCTTGTGATCATAATTGTTTCTTACGTTTTATAGATCTCAATATATTCTAGGGCTGTTGGGGGGAGGGAATGCAGGGCAGGGTAACTAACAATTAACTGATGTGTATAGACAATGTTTTACATAAAAGGTAAACAACAGTTACCCACATGCCTATGGACACAATCTGATAGAGTTTAAATGCTGTAAACAAGTAATTTCAAGGGAGTTTATAAGATTTGTTTCATGAGTTAAGATGAAGTGGTTTTTATCATAAATTGTATTGTTTTACTGGTGTTTTCAGATCCGAGAATGTGTGGACAGATATGCTAGAATATTCCTGTTTTCAGTACATAACATGAGAAACACACATTTGAAAGACATTCGACAGGAGTGGAAACATAGCAGGTAACATATCTCAGAGACATAGATGGGAACTGTAAATATTTTTACCTGTAGCCATAGACAAATGAATAAGCTTTCAGAAAATGTATTATTTTACTGATTTTGATATCTGGTTAATAAGTTTAACTTGATTCAAGTTTTAAGTTTAGCAGGCACACGTGATATTTTAACTGGCTAGGAAGTTGCCTATCCCTGTTATCTATGTCTCTGCATATCTTGAAATGATGAATGATGACATGTGCATCAATAAATAATGACTAGGTTAAATCACTGTTCATAAATCAGGAACAAACAGTAGGATTTGAAGCTTTACATATTCTTTATTGACAATTGACTGAAAAATGCAATATCAAGCTTAATGGTTTTGAAAGTTATAAAATGTACTGTGCTTGTGACATAGTGTTGTACTGTTAATGTTCTTCTAGCATACTATTAGGCTGTTTCTTTTGTTCGGCTCTTTTCTGATGTCACTGATGCACAATTGTCTGGGGCACATGTTTTAATTATCAATGAACAAATTATCACATTTTCATTTGTTTATCCATTTTTGTTAGCTTGTCTGTTTCAGAGAAAAAGTTTGATTTATTAACACTGTGATGTCCACGTCCCATTGTTATTGTTATGATGCCCATTTTTAACTTAGAATTTTTGTCAACACCTCATGCTGTTGAGTAGTAACATTGAGAACTGGCTTGCTTTGATTGTTATATTTTCATTAATTTTTTTTTCAGGTTTTACTTTGGTAAGAACAAAGTTATGTCCCTTGCATTAGGTAGAACACACACAGATGAGTACAGAGATAATCTACATGAAATAAGCTCACATTTAAAAGGACAGACTGGCTTGCTGTTTACAAATAAAACAAAAGATGAAGTTATAGAGTAAGTTTTTTAATATTGTTTGTTAACATTGGCTTAATTCATATAAACATTGGTTTAATTTGTTAACATTGGTTTAATTTATTAACATTGGTTTGATTTGTTAACACTGTTTTAATTAATTAACTTTCAATTGGTTTAATTGGTAAACTTTGTATTTAGATGTGTTTATACACAAATACTCTATATACATCGTAGATTATACAGTATACATTTTTTATACTACATAATTTATTATACCAAGTTTCAAATTTTTTGTAGTAAAAAAAATCTTAAATTCCTTGGATATCAGTCATAAGTTTGGTAACATACAATGCTAAAATTTTTATTGTAAGATGATGATTAGTTTTTATTAACTTTTACAGAGAAATTGACTCGTTCTAGTCTTCCGTGACACCAATTAAAGTTATTAAACAAAGGTTTTTGTCTCATACTTTAAGATTTTGGGCAAATAAATTTATAAAAAAGGCGTATTTTCATTTTCAATTACTTGTGGCAAAGTGGATAAGGCCGTTGACTTCAAACGACTTGCCCCTCACTGCTGTAGATTCAAAACCCATCAGGGACTTTGGATTCTTTCTTGTGATGAAGCTACCCATCTAGCTTAGGGAACATCAGTGGTTCTACAGTACTCAGGTCTTCCTCCACCAGTAAAGCTTTAAAGTACCCAACAAAAAAAAAAAAAAAGAAACTAAAATATTGCTAAGCTGTTTCTATAAATAAAACAGTAGAGACATGGTAGGGCTGGGGCGAGTATCCGAGTACTCAGATAATCACGAATCAAAGTGAAAAATCGAGTTTGAATATTCGTAAGCCCAGAGATCGTGGATCGCGATCTAATTTTTTTATATACATTCACTGTTTCTCACACTCTTCAAATCTAGAAAAATATGATTTGAGTATAAATTATATGAAGTTTACCTAAATACAATTTGCCGGTTAAAGACCATGTACCATGATGCTGAGCTAGCCTAGGTAGTAATTGGTTTCAAAAACAAAACAAAAAATACCCAACCAAAGAATAAATACATAAACAAAGTTTATATTTTATATTTTAAATGTATAGTGTTGTTGCTGTTTTCTTAAATTAACATGTTTTTATAACTTTTGTACATGTTTTTATGGGTGTCTTGATAACAAAAGATTTGTGGTTCGATTTGTGAATCGTAAGTGCTGAATCTTGGTTCGGATCGGATCGTCACTTATCCGACGATCCACACCCCTAAGACATGGTCTATGTGATCACTCAGTATCATAGTGTTGGCCTGGGACATAATATAAGGGGACTAGAAACTTCTGGAAAAATAAAGCATGCCAATTTTGCAGCTCCATAAAAATGGTATCGCACGGCCGTGCATTATACAAACATAATGTAAAGATGTGCTAAATGTTACACTATAGGCACATCAATGAAAAATGTTTCTTTTGCACTATTAACAGTCTTTATTTTAGGTATGTGATAATAGAAGGCAGTGGCCCGCAAAATATGATTTTATTCAACTCGTTCAATAAATTCAGTATTGAACCCTATACACTCATTTAATATCCTCTATTTATGAGCATCAATTTGACAGGGCATTGATCAACAAGTGTAATCATATACTAATGCAGTTTATATGAAAATTTACATTGATTTACTCTTAATGAAAGGACTGTTAAAATCTATTACCAGTTAGCTGATGTTTCTCTTCATATTCGCCATTTACTTTATTTTCAAAAGGCATGACAAAATAGTCGTTTTTGTGTCTAAATAAAATAAATAGTCTCCAGTTGCCTGTTTCATTATATTATGTCTAAGCCTAGCGCAACAGAGTTGTAAGGTGAACATACTTGTTTGAGGGTATCTGTCCTTCCATCTGTACAAACAATCTTGTTTGTGCTTCTTCAAAACAGATCAACCAATTTTAATTAAACTTCACAGGAATGATCGACATGAGGTCTAGTACTTGAACATGTAAGGAATTTGAATAACACTCAAATGATCTTTACCATTGAATCTTGCTAGAATGAGCTATAACTTCCTTATTTATGAATATATAATATTCATACTTGGACTTAATAAACTCTTAAAATATTTAAGACAAAGCTAACTTATCAGTTTAATATTTCAGATATTTTAAGAATTTTCGAGCAAGTGATTTTGCACGAGCTGGAACAGTTGCGTGTCAGACAGTTATATTAGAGGAAGGACCTTTACCAGAATTCTCACACTCTATGGAGCCTCAGTTACGACAACTTGGTCTGCCGACTTCGTTAAAAAAGGGGGTGATAACTCTTAACAAAGAATTCAAAGTTTGTGACTTGGATCAGACCCTCTCACCTGAACAAGCAAGAATTTTGGTAAGTAGATATAGTCAGTGTATGAAGTCAATGTTTTTATGCCCCAGTCCATTTGGCTGTCTGTGGGCATGTGAGTGCATGCGCTCAAAAAACTTGTGCGGCCCATAACTTTGTCATATATCAAGAGATTTTGAAATAAAATACTTGGCACAGATGTGGAGCACGATAAGATCCCTTGCTCCAAGGTCAAGATCTCACAGGTCAAAGGTCAGCAGTTGTAAATCTTGTCAGCAAATAATTTTGTCATGCATCAATGAATTTTAAATATCTTGGTATGTATGTCAATCATGATAAGATGGTATGTCATGCCCAAGTCCTTAACCTGTAGCCCCAAGGTCAACATCAAGAAGTCAAAGGTTGACAGTAAGAAGGTCTTGTCCAGCCCATAAATCTGTCATGCATCAAGGGATTTTGAAATAACTGGGCACAAATGTAAAGCATAAGAGAGTGTGTCATGTGCAAGACCTAGACCCCTAGCTTCAGGGTCAAGGTCAAAGAAGTCAAAGGTCAGCAGTTAGCAAATATTGTTTGACCCATAACTCTGCATCAAGAGATTTTTGGAACAATTTGACACATATTTTGAGCATGAGATGGTGCATCATGCAAAAGACCAAGACTCCAAGGACAAGGTCACACTTACAGGTCAAAGGTCAACTGTTAGGAAGTCTTGTCTGGCCAACAACTCTGTCATCCATCAAGAGATCTTCAAGTCAGATGGCTTTTAGGGGTCTCTATAGCTAAAAATAGAAATACCGTTAAATGTCTATTTATAGAGAACTAATTGATGGATGATCACCAAACTTTGTTTGCAGTATTTTTGGGTAGTCTTTTATCAAGTTTGCTCATATGAATTTGATAAGCCCCTTTTAGGGGCCGCTTAAGCTAAAAATAGAAAAACCTTTAAATGTCTATTTCTACAGAACTAATGGATGGATGATCACCAAACTTTGTCTGAAGCATTGTTGGGTAGTCTTTTATCAAGTTTGCTCATATTATTTTGAATTGGCCCCTTTATGAGGCCGCTTAAGCTAAAAATAGAAATACCTTTAAATGTCTATTTCTACAGAACTAATGGATGGATGATCACCAAACTTTGTCTGAAGCATTGTTGGGTAGTCTTTTATCAAAGTTGCTCATATTAATTTAATTGGCCCCTTTAAGGAGCGGCTAAAGCTAAAAATAGAAAAACCTTTAAACATCTTCTACTTCAGAACCAATTGATGGATGATCACCAAACTTTGTCTGTAGCATTGTTGGGTACTCTTTTATCAAGTTTGGTTATAATATTTATTTGATTAGCCCCTTTTAGGGGCCACTAAAGCTAGAAATAGAAAAAACCTTCGGACATCATTTCCTACTGAAATAATTGAAAAATAGAAAAAACCTTCGAACATCATTTCCTACTGAAATAATTGAAAGATGATCACCAAACTTTGTAGCATTCTTAGGTAGTCTTTTATCAAGTTTGCTCATATTAATTTGATTAGCCCTATTTAATCTAAAGCTTTAATACCCCAGGTCATGGCATTTCTTCAAAGTATTGTTTAAACATATTCTATGCTCAAATTTAATATTAGAATATATTGACATTCCAACACTGAAAAGCAGTTGTTTCTGGTGAGCGACTCAGGGCCATTATGGCCCTCTTGTTTATTTTTGTCTGGGCCATTTCTCTTAATGTATAAAAGCTATGGACTTGAAACTTCATAGGATGATAGATCTCATTAAGAAGAAGTGCAGTGCACAAGAACCGGTACTCTGCATTTCTTATTTTTTGAGGTATTGCCCTTTGTTACTTTTCATACTTTATTTTTGTCCAAAGTATAAAAGCTATGGACTTGAAACTTCATATGATGATAGATCTCATTAAGAAGAAGGGCAGTGCTTAAGAACCGGTACTCTGCATTTCTTATTTTTTGAGTTATTGCCCTTTGTTAATTTTCATACTTTATTTTTGTTCAGGCCATTTCTCCTCAAGTATAAAAGCTATGGACATGAAACTTCATAGGGTGATAGATCTCATTAAGAAGAACTGCAGTGCACAATAACCAGAACTCTGCATTTCTCATTTTTAGCTCGACTATATGAAGTATATGGAGAGCTGTCCTACTCGCCCCGGCGTCGGCGTCCTCGTCCAGATTTCAGAAAGTTTTGGTGCAGTAAAATATTTTTCACTATAACTTTGTCATTTCTTAAAGTATCAGTTTCAAACTTCAAATATATGTTCCTTATTATCAACCACATCTTATGTGGCAAGGTTCATAACTCTAGCACCAATATTTTCAGATTTATCTCCCCTTGAACTTAGAATTTTCCTCAAAAAATACTACTTTTTACTGTTACTTCTTTATTTCTTAAGGGATCAACTTCATACTTCAAATATATGTACCTTATCATCATCCCCATCTTATGTGACAAGGTTCATAACTCTAGCACCAATATTTTCAGATTTATCTCCCCTTGAACTTAGAATTTTCCTCAAAAAATACTACTTTTTACTGTTACTTCTTTATTTCTTAAGGGATCAACCTCATACTTCAAATATATGTACCTTATCATCATCCCCATCTTATGTGACAAGGTTCATAACTCTAGCACCAATATTTTCAGATTTATCTCCCCTTGAACTTAGAATTTTCCTCAAAAAATACTACTTTTTACTGTTACTTCTTTATTTCTTAAGGGATCAACCTCATACTTCAAATATATGTACCTTATCATCATCCCCATCTTATGTGACAAGGTTCATAACTCTAGCACCAATATTTTCAGATTTCTCTCCCCTTGAATATAGAATTTTCCTTAAAAATACTATTTTTTACTGTTACTTCTTTATTTCTAAAGGGATCAACTTTATACTTCAAATATATGTAACTTATCATCATCCACATCTTATGTGGCAAGGTTCATAACTCTAGCACTAATATTGCAAGAATGATCTCCCCATAAACTTAGATTTTTTTACTAGAAAATTGTTATTTTTTATTATAACTTTTTTAGTTTTAAAGGTATCTACCTCAAACTTCAAATACTTATTCCTTATCATCAATTACATTTTATGTCACAATGTTTGTAACTCTTGAAGCAATATTTACAGATTTATCTTTCTTTGAACTTAGGATTTTCTTTAAGAAATATTATAACTTCTTTACTTTTTAAGGTATCTACTTCAAACTTCAAATATATATTTCTTATCATTACACACATGTTGTGTGAATGGTTCATTACTCTAGCATGACTTTTTCTAGAATTATTCCCCTTGATCTTGGAATTTATGTTAACAAATGATATTTTTTTACAATAACTTAATACATAATTATACATAATTGGTTTTTCTTTCATAGTTTTGTCCTCCTTACTGCGTCCAGTATTTTATTAGTCGAGCTTGGCTGTCTCCTGTGACAGCTCTTGTTGAGGTATTGCCCTTTGTTACTTTTCATACTTTATTTTTGTCCAAAGTATAAAAGCTATGGACTTGAAACTTCATATGATGATAGATCTCATTAAGAAGAATGGCAGTGCTTAAGAACCGGTACTCTGCATTTCTTAATTTTTGAGTTATTGCCCTTTGTTTTATTTCATTCTTTATTTTTGTCCAGGCCATTTCTCCTAAAGTATAAAAGCTATGGTCTTTAAACTTTAAAGGATGATAGATCTCATTAAGAATAAGTGCAGTGTACAAGAACCGGTACTTGCACTTCTTATTTTTGAGTTATTACCCTTTATTAATTTTGGTCCTTTATTTTGTCCAAATTATAAAAAACTATGGACTTGAAACTTCATAGGATGATAGATCTTATTGATAAGAAGTGCAGTGCACAGAAAATGCTGCTCTGCACTTCTTATTTTTTGAGTTATTGCCCTTTGTTAATTTTCATATTTCATTTTTGTCCTGAACTGTATTGTTCGCAAGGCGACACATCCGACTCGCGGAGTTCTATGATTCAACGAAGATCATATTTATTAGTCACAGATTTTTCCTTGACAATTTTATACCATTGTGTTATTTCACTTGCTTTTAAAATGTTTTATACGGCTTTAAAATTTTAGTGGTTTCTGTACTGTTCAAATCTTATCATTTATTTGCACGACTACTCTATGTTCCGGCTTTTGTGCCCTCTCTTGCTTTTTGTTGGGTACCCTACTGAGTGCCTTTGCGGTCGTCCAGTGTGGGGACTGCATTCTCTGAATGTTACTTAGCATTGTTGATCCTTGTTGTATTTTCTTGTTGCATATCCATAATAAACGTGCGTAGTTCTTTTAATTGCACGTTTCTCAGTCCATTAATGAAAAAGCCAGGGGTGTAGTAAACTGGAAATATGATTTTTTGCCAATTGCCCACGGACAACAAATGGAGCAGAAATTATTACTCGTCCATGTTAAAGAAGTCAACATTTAACATGCAGATTTCTTTTTTTTTCCCAGGGAAGAACCCGATCCAGTTTTAATGGCGAGTAATATTAATTATTACATTAGTACACATATAAATACTTTTTTAAATCAAGGTCCGCCTAGTCTCGAGTGACGGTCCGCCCTGTCCCAAAATATGGTCCGCCTAGTCTCGAGTCACGGTCCGCCCTGGTATGGTCCGCCCTGTCTCACGGTCCGCCCTGTCCTGCAGGCATTACAAAGCATCGAACGATTAACAGTGGCGTCATTTGGTTTACTGCACAGGCACGAGTATCGGACCTGGGAAGATGTACAATCATTTGTTTTTATGCTGTGCATATATCGTGTAATAATGCACTTGATTGTTTTAAGGAATAGTGTGAAGCTTTTTAGAATTATAAACAAAGAACTTTGAAGTTACAACAACTTATTTTACGTTCAATATGAAAATATTCAATATGCAAAACCGGTTCGATCCTGGGTAACACCCTTGATATTTTTCAGAGACTCTTTCAGTGTTTCCCACCTAACTAGAGGTGTACTGGTAAGAAATCCTGGTAATCCTCGCAGGTATCAGTGCTATACACTGAGCATGTAGAAGAACCAAGGGGTATATTCTAGTACCAGTATTCTGGTACTGGTTCCCGGATTCCCTTGTATCTCATAGCTTTTTCTGAAGTGACTATTCTACAGCCATGTCTACGTCCCCGCGAGATAATACGGTTTCATAAATCAATGATTTTCTTTGACAATAAAATTAATTGTTACTTAATATTGAACTATTTTTCTAAGGGAATTTCTTCATATTAAAACATTCTATTTACGTATTTATATTTTCAGAAATTATTTGGTCATCAAATGGCAGAATTTCATGTTACAGTAGAAAGCATGTGGTCAAATGATGGAACATATAAGCCAATAGAAGGAGGAGTTTCAGAAACTATAACACCCACAAAAGTTAAAGGTTTGTTGTTTGCTATATTCTGTGAGGCTACTCATTTTAACTTACCAAAAAGAGAATCGTTTTCAGAATGATTAGTTTGCCTTTAATCTATAATCTCTATAATGTCCATCATCCTTTTGAAAAAAAAGGGGTATATAAATATAGGCTCTGTCCCTCTGGCTGTCTGTCCGTCCCTTTGCCTTCTGTCACACTTTCCTGTACAGTCCTTAACTATGCTATTTATCAAAGTAATTTGAAATATCTTAGCACAAATGTTTGTTATAATAAGATGCATGTCATACGAAACACCCGGACCCATACCTCCTAGGTCAAGTTCATACTTGGTGATTTAAGGTCAACATTGTCTATTTGAGGGTATATTTCGTGTTTGGTCCCATGAAGTGATGTTAAAATACATGCCACAAATGTTCACAAAAATAAGTTGATGTGTCATGCTCAACAATCAGTCTTCTACCTCAAAGGTCAAGGTCACACTTGGAGGTCAAAGATTAACACAGTCTGTTATAGGGTATATTTTGTGTCCGGTCCATAACTTTTTCATAGATCAAGAGTTTTTACATTTCTTGGCACAAATGTTCACAATAATGGAACCATGTGTCATGCACAACAGCCAGGCCCTTCTCCAAGGTCAATGCCACACTTTGGTGCCAAAATAAATATAGTCTTTTATAGTGTATATTTTTTGTGTCCAGTCCATATTTATTTTTATTGTTCAAGGGATTTTGAAATTACTTGGCACAAATGTTCACAATAATGGGAACATGTGTCATTGCGCAACACCCAGACCCCTAACTTTAATGTCAAGGTCACACTTGGGTGCCAAAGTTTAACATAGTCTGTTATAGGTTATATTTTGTTATAGGTTATAACTTTTTCATCAATCAAGCGATTTTGAAATAACTTGGACAACACGTCATGTACCACACTCTGACCCCTACCTCAAGGGTCAAGGTCACACTTGGAGGTCAAAGCCTAAAATAGTCTGTTAGAGGGTATGATGCCAAGTCAGGCCATGCAAATAAAATGTCATGGTGAATTCCCCGCATACCTTGATTAATGACTGGACACGAAATATATACCCTGTAACAGACCATATCCTGTATTGATTTTGTATTTGTCACATTTTGTGGCAACAACTATACAAATGTATTTCTGTTACAAAAAAGTTATTTCATTATATTTCTTTAATGAATTTATTGTTACTTGCATGACCAGATCTAGCATGGATCGAAATTTTGAAAGTCCAGATCCATACCTCAATCTTTTGAAATACCACAATTTTGTGTTTTTCATGTAAAACTTCCCTTAGGCTGGCTGTTACCAATTCTTGTTATGATAGAAATACAAACTGAAGTGAGAAAATTGTTTGTATTGTGATAATCAAGAATATGTGTTGTTACATTCATAGGCTGATTTTTAAAGAAGAAACATTCCTTCTGTTTTGTTCAGATTTTTTATTATGCATTTTACAAGTTTTTATAAGTTGATATTAGAATTCTTTAAAATTTCATTAGTGTTTTTTTCTGGTCAATTATATCACTCCTGTGTCATACGCGCCGCAGATAAGCACTCTTCAATATGTACTTCTAGCTGGTCCATTCAACATACCTTGTTTTATGTAGAACACCATATTCATAACTCATCAATTAAAGTTATTAGCTGTTTGTTGTTATACAAATAATCAAAATGGGAAAAATTGCAAGTACATGTAGTGCTGTATACAGTAAATCTGTGTTCACGGTATAGACTTAACAGGTGTGTGATTATGAAGCATTGCTTTTGTCATGTAGTGGATATGAGCCGCGTCATGACAAAACCAACATAGTGCATTTGCGACCAGCATTGATCCAGACCAGCCTGCGCAGTCTGATCAGGATCCATGCTGTTCGCTATCAGTTCTCTACTTGTAATAGAGTTGGTAAGTGAACAGCATGGATCCTGATCAGACTGCGCGGATGCGCAGGCTGGTCTGGATCCATGCTGGTGGCAAACCCATTATGTTGGTTTTGTCGTGACGCGGCTCATATTTATTTTATCATGAATATCATTTAATGTATCATTTTGTTCTCATAGATCTTGTGTAATTGTCTGTTATTAATGTATTATATTTCTTTACAGTCTGATATACAAGCCACTATCCTATATAATTATCATTTGCATTTCATCTTAACAACTAATTACTTATATTTCATTTACGCATAACTTGCATGCCAAGCCTCAGTTTTTACATACTTTCTGGACAAACAATCTCATGCATGCGCACTTTGATAAATATAATATTCCCTCGGTTTACACTAGAAATTGTTACTCTGTTTATTTAAATTATTAAGGCGTTTGTATATGTCCTTTACAGGCATGACCAGCCATTCTTACATTGAATGACTTTACAATACTTACGTTTTTGTTTTTGTCCATCTTTTAAATATTTCAGTTTGACCAAAAACCATTCTTACATAGAAGGAACATACAATATTTATGATTCTTTTTACTTTTAAATATTTCAGTTCGACCGAAAAAGAGAAAACAAGAAGAGGAAGAGAGTGATGATGAAATGAGTGATGATAACAATGATGATGATAATGATGATGAATAAATTTATTTTATTTTACCTGGATTTTCTTATTGTCACCCATACCCATATTTGTCTTTCTTAATAGACACTTTTATTGATTGAATTCTTTATGGAACCAGTGAATGGCCTTTTTAGCTCACCAGAGCCAAAGGCTCAGGGTGAGCTATTAGTATCAAAGGGTGATACTCGGGTGTCCGTCGTCATGCGTCAACAATCGTCTCTGAAACTAGTGGGCATTTCAATTGGCCCCTTTTAGGGGTCAACAGAGCTAAAAATAGAAAAACCTTCAAACATCTTCTACTACAGAACTAATTGATGGATGATCACCAAACTTTGTCTGTAGCATTCTTGGGTAGTCTTTTATCAAGTTTGCTCATATTAATTTGATTGGCCCCTTTTAGGGGTCTCTAGGGCTAAAAATAGAAAAAAAACATTTACACATCTTCTTCTACAGAACTAATGGATGGATGATCACAAAACTTTGTCTGTATCATTCTTGGGTAGTCTTTAATCAAGTTTGCTCATATTAATTTGATTGGCCCCTTTTATGGGCCGCTAAAGCTAAAAATAGAAATACCCTTAAACATCTATATCTAGTGAACTAATTGATGGATGATCACAAAACTTTGTCTGTATCATTCTTGGGTAGTCTTTATCAAGTTTGCTCAAATTAATTTGATTGGCCCCTTTTAGGGGCTGCTTAAGCTAAACATAGAAAAACCTTTAAACATCTATATCTAGAGAACTAATTGATGAATGATCACCAAACTTTGTATCATTCTTGGGAAGTCTTTTATCAAGTTTGCTCATATTAATTTGATTGGCCTCTTTTAGGGGTCCCTAGGGCTAAACATAGAAAAACCTTTAAACATGTTCTACAGAACTTATTGATGAAGGATCACCAAATTTTGTCTGTAGCATTCTTGGGTAGTCTTTTATCAAGTTTACTCAGATTAATTTGATTGGTGCCGTTTAAGCTAAAGCTTAAATACTTCATGTCATGGCATTTTTTCAAATTATTTTTTAAACATATTCTATGCTCAAATTAAATATCAGAACATATTGACAATGAAAAGCAGTTGTTTCTGGTGAGTGACTCAGGGCCATCATGGCCCTCTTGTTTTAACCAGTATCAGTATAGAGCCAGGTCGACCTGCTCATCAATGCACTCTGACCAGACTCAAGTCTGTTATTAGCTTGATTTTTTATGCACATAGTAACCAAACCATTATTCTGTTTGTCTATATGAGGTTGAGCTAAAGTTGCAAATTAGATATATCTTAATTTCTGCCTGTACCAATCAATAAATTGTGGCTCTTATTTCCCTTTTTAGTACTTTTAAAAAATGTATTATTAAGCTTATTTGACATTATTGTTTATCGCTAAAGTTTCATCTGCACAAATATCTTTGCCTAATACATGATCATAACTCATCATAGGGTTCTGCCCAATCCCAAAATGTATTGTATAGATATTATTCATCATGCAAGTGACATAATTGTGGCAAAGTATGTTTAACCTATTCAGATATGTTGGATATATCTCGAGTTTTACCTAGCAATTTTATTTATTGGCCAGTATCTTCAATATTTTGCTAGGTCCTAAACTTCTGATAAAGATTTGGATCACTGGATAAAAGGTCAAAGGCTTTTGGGTAAAGGTCTCCAATGCTAAAAATATAATTTTTTTATACTGATGCTCTAACATCCTTTATTTATTGACCATAATCTTTTGTTTTGATGTGTTCATTCTTTGATTAATCTTCCGACCTTGGATGCAATAAGAGGTTACTCAGGTTCAAGGTCACCATATTCAATAATTTGACAGCAACGGTCATATCATTTACTAGTACAAGTCAAGGTCATAAAATGTCTGGGTTTTTTTAAGTGTTTTTTCTTTTGTCCAAGTATAAATCAATAAGTAAATAACGAAGTTATAGCTATTTGTAACACAATTCAGTAATTTTACCTGTAGGGTCAAGATCAAATTAAGGTCAAGGTCAATATATATACATGTACATATTGGTAAAGTAACTAGTCTTGTCAAGCATTTAAATAGGTAGACGATAAAGACATGGACAATAACAAGTGAACATCAGTAGATGATAAATTATACTTTAATCATAGAAAAAAATTGCAGTTTTCTTACAATGCAATGTTTCTATTGAAATACAAAGTATGAACAATACAGAATAACAGAATATTGAGAGAATAGCCCAATGAATATAAGTATTGTAGTTTAAAATATGAACATACGATAATGGACACATATTTACCACTTTTTAGAGTGTAATTTTTTTGCTGTGTTACAAGACTTGTGTGAACTTCAGAGAACATGATAAAGATACTATAAGATGAAAGTTCACAATTCAAAGTTATCATAGACAAGTGTTCCTTGTATACATGTATATATTAACAGGTTTGAAGGAGTGGCAAAGTAAAGATACTGCAGATTATAACACTACAAATGGAACCTGACATATAAAGAAACCATGTCTTACAGATAAGCATATACAATACAAAAGTTTTACTATAATTGTCAGAATATCCTTTAAGCTATTCTCTCAAAATGATAAGTTTCACCAGTTTTGTCTATATAACATATTACCAGTAATTAATGTAAATACACAATCTCCAATTTTCTATAAAGTATACAGTAGACCACTAACAGAAATTTGACATAAACGATATCTGAAAAGATTTTCTTGGATTCAAACACAGTCCTCCCTGTCTTTAAAAGCCACCTGTGAAACCAATTTATACCACTGTTGAATAATTGCTTTCAGATATCGAGATAAAAACTTATCTAAAATATAATAACATGTCCTCACAAATTTTTGTTTTGTTCTTTATTAAAATAAAAATAGGGTTTATAGGTTGTTTTTTTTTATCGCTACAATAATGTTTAATCAAATGAACTGCAATGATGGGTCATTTTAACATTAAGCAATATTCTCCCCCAGTGTGGACTTTCAAAGACAGATTTTACTTTGTATATAAACAAAACATTCAGCACATATTTATTTTAAAATTTGACCAAGTTCATAGAACTTTTGTTTATAGAAGAGTTCAGGTTTTTAATATCTATTTCTCAACTCCTGTAAGAAGTATACATAGTTTACTGATAGGGAGTTGAAAGAGATAAACACTGTGAGAGATACTGTCTATGGTTGTTGTTACAACCTTCAGCCAACTACTCTGGTACTTTACATGAACATCAATGTCTGTACAAGATCATTGAATTAAATTACTCAACTATGTTATATATACATGTACTTTAATCAGCAAATATACATGTACATTTTAGTGATAACGTATAAACACTAAGAGGACCACAGAATTCAGCAAGACAACAGCCTAGCTATTCTAAAGTTTTCTGGCGGGAAATAAAACCCTTTAAAAAAAAATGCATCTAAATTTTTAAACCTCGACCTCCCTAAAATTTCCCTTAAATAAAACATTTCTCATTTCCATTTTAAACCCTATCCTTTTTATCCTGCTGGGGATATATGAATAAAAAATTTTAATATTGGTCAGCTAAGTGTAAAGGCTGGTCAGACTACACTGAAGTGCTGGCTGACCTAGCTTTATACTGCTGGTAAAGGCTTATCTTTTAAGCTTCCTGCTGAGTAAGGGTTAAACTCCCAACAAAGTCTCAATAAAGTACCACTAAATAACTTGCAATTTAGGTAATTCTGTGACCATCTCAATAAAATTTTCACAATAAAGTTAATTCTATAGTAAACAGACTATATCTCAATTCCTGGCATCTGATTGGCTTGTATTTCAAATATGAATTTAAAATAAACCAATGACACTGCAGCATTTTGAAAAATAGTCTTTAAGCTCAGTACAATACTCCTTAACGTCTGTACATCAGTTGAATGAGATTTTTTCTCCATTTTACTTCTAATGAAAACCAATATCCAGAAATGACTAGACTAAACTGTTTAACACTAGGAATATCTCTCAACTAAAAACTACAGATTTTAATACTAGAAAGCTAAAACCTGAATTTTCAAATCATTATATCTTTTTTTCCCCCAAGAGTATTTCTTATTAGTTCCCCATATTTATTTATGATTTACTCAATTTAATAAATTTTAGAAATCACAGAAGTTAATGATTTTTGTAGTATAGTTTTTCCTATCGGGTCTGGTAAAAAAAAATTTGGGGGAAACGAAAAAATGCTCATAAAAAATTTTAGTAACACAAAAATCCCCTTAAAGACTTTTATTTGAAACTGATACAGGTTAAATGCAAGAATGAAAAAAAATTGAAAAAAAATGCTACAGTTTTCCCATTAAACCCCTTCAAATGTTTTAACAGCATATGGGAGTGGGAAAACATTTTTCCCTGTGTTTTGGGGTTTTCCCCTTTGCTTTTTTTTCCATTTGAATAAACCCTGAAAAAAACAAAAATGTTTTAAAAAATTTGACCCGGCTCAGGGACAAAAACCCATGGGTTTTTGGGGCGACCACAGGGGATAAAAACCAGTTTGTCCCTTCCCGGGGCAGTCTGACCCAGGACCCATGCTGTTGCAAAACCCCCTTTAAAAAGTAAAAAAAGGGATGCAACCCAAGCGTGGATCCTGATGGGACTCCCACGAATTGCGCATGCTGGTCGGGCCCCCTGCTGGTCGAAACGACTATAAATGGTTTTGCCCATGATGGGGCCTAAATTTTATTTTTAAAAACCAACTTTTTTTTTTGGGAGTAAACCAAAAATTGTACTGTAACAAGTTTAAACATTTTCCCTTTTAAAGGAAGGAATTTTAAAGTTTGGGGGCCCTTTGAACCCAAAACGCAAAGGGGGCAGATTTAAAAATAAAATTTTAGACATTAAAAAACCCTATTTCCCAAAAAGCTTGAAATAACTGAATTCAAACTGGGGCAACTAACAATTCTGAGTTTAATGTAAATCATACAATTCATTTTTTCCAAATATCTACATGATTTTCTAACACATGAAAACCAGTTTTTAAAGCAGTAGGAAACCTAAATCACAGAAAAAATATGTATAGAAATAAAAATAACA